GTTCCTAAATAGAACAGTCACCCAAAATTCAAGGTCTAGACCAGGGGTTGCCAACCTTTTGGACCTCAGGGACCACCAAATTCATAATTTTAAATCCCGTGGACCACTAATATGAATCTAGCATGCCGCTCGCTGAAGTGCCTGAACTCCCACTGACGCGATGGGGTCCTTCAGGCACTTAGCTTGGCTGCCTGTTTCTGCAACTTTAAATACTCAAAGAGTCATTTGGACCCGTTTCCCACAGAAAACAAAACACCAGGATCTCTCTCTCTCCCCCCTCCCTCTCCCCTCCTCTCTGTCCCTGGGGGTGGGGGGAAAGGAACCTCTGAACTGGTGCTGGGTGGTGGGAATCTGATGTCTGGAGGCTGACAAGTCACATGCTGAAGACCAGATGGCTGGTGGGGAGGTGGCCCAACAGGGATGATACTGGTGGTGGATGGACTGATGCGCGTGGGAGATTGCGGCATCGAAGCCCTTCCCGGGTGTTCCCTGGCCTGCAAGGGGGATGGGGATGGAAGGAAAGGAACCTCTGAACTGGTATTATTTCCTGCCTCCGCACATCGAGGTGGTCGAGCGGCTGCTAGAGACGCCCTCATGTGAAGATGTTGCGAGGGGGAGGCTCGACCTGCCAAGCTTCCGCCTTCCCGCTGGGCATGTGAGCACTTCTGGCAAGGACGGAGAGAAGCACGGTGGGAGGAGGTTTGGTGGCTGCCAGAGGGGCGGTGAGCGCTTTGCGGCTCCTGAGTGGAGGGGTCCATCCGCCCCACAACCTCTTCACCTGAGGGCATCACTGGCAGCCACTTCCTGTGGCTCAGGAAGCCCGCACACTTCCCGCTGCTGCTCAGCCTCCTCGATGCACAGAGGCAGGAGGCAGCAGCCATGACACAGGTTTGCTAGGGAGACTGCAGGATTGCCCCACCTCCACGCCAGCCATCTGGTCTTCAGCACATGGTTTGTCGGCCTATGGACATCAGATTCCCACCACCCAGCACCAGTTCAGAGGTTTCTTTCCACCACCCCTCTTCGCAGGCCAGGGAACACCCCAAAAGGGCTCCGATGCCATGATCCAGCGCTCTACCCTCCCTCCCCGTGCGCATCAGTCTATCCACTGCAGATATCACCCCTGTTGCAGACACGGGTGCGCTGCGGAGCACCAGAATTTTCTCACAGACCCCCAGTGTTACGTGCCCCACCGGTTGGCGACCACTGGTTTAGATGGATTTATCTGAGTAGCCGTAAAGTGCAGCATATACCAAGGTAAAGCATTGTACCTGCTTTGTTCTGTATAGGCAGATAATCACATAGAGATATGGATATAAATTCAAGAATGGAACTATCATCAGCCACCTCCTCTATGTAGAGGCCATCAAACTGTGTGCTGAGAGTGAATTGACTCGCTGATCCATCCATCCATGAATCTACAGTGAAGAGATTGGGATGTCGGATTTCATTTGGACTCGAGAAGTGTAGCCAAATAATAATAAAGAGAGGAAAGGTAGTTGACTGATGAATGAAACTACCAGCAAGCCACATAAAACCCATGCTGACCAGCCTCAAGTATCTTAGTATCCAAAGGTCACATGGGAACCATGAGGAGGTGGCAAGGAAGACACCAACACCAAAGATAAGAGCAAGTTCCATGCCATCAAGATGTATGTCCTGCTAGTCATTAGATACCCTGCCAATATGGTGAGCTGGCCAAAGGAGGACATGGAAGATTATGCTGTGAACCAGAAGCTCCTCACAATCTATAAAGGTTTCCACCCAATGTCCAACACCCATGTGTAGTACACCAGTTGGAGACAGTATCTAAACCAATGTCCTGGATGAAACCTATAACATCTGGGAATACATCAGTAAGATAACACCCAAACATGATCTGCTGAGAAAATATCTGAGGCAGCAATGGACAAAGGAGGAAGATCAAGCAGAGGAAGCGCCATTGCAGGACAAGATCAATGGTGGGCTGCAACCGGTTTAACAACTGGTTCGGTGAGTGCGCACATGCCTCAGGCACTTGTGTGCAGCGCAGAAAATCGAGCATTTAGAAGCGCAACTGCTTACCTTCCAAGTCAGCAACAGTAAGCAGAACAGCGAGGTGTGGGGGAATCAGCTGTGTTGCGCAATTGAGATGAGCTAGAAAGCAGGAAATAAAGGACAGGATAGGGTGGGGGTGGATGAGCGGGGCTAGCTGATCCTCAGAACTACCGGTTCGCCCGAACCAGCAGCAGTCCACCACTGGACAAGACCTACAAGGGATGTACCATCGCGAGGTAGCTGAAGTGGTTGACATTGGGAAATCCTACCAGTGACTGGATAGAGCTGAACTAAAAGAGAACACTAGTCGCAGCAGCACAAGAACAGGAACTAAGCATCAGATCTATAGAAGCAGTGGTCTGCTGCACTAGCTTGGACCCAAGTTGCAAACTGTGCAAAAACAGTCCAACATATAGTGACAGGATATAAGTTTCAGGCAGGAACAGCATATATTGAAAGGCACAACCAAGTAGTTGGCATTGTGTACAGGGACATTTGCACAGTATATGGGCAATATTCTCCCAAGTCCGGATGAGTGATTCGTGGAGAATAATAGGGCTAAGATCCAGACTGGAAGGCAATCAACCAGATAATAACTTGATTTCAGGTTAAGGCTTTGAATCTGTTCGTCTTTTGGAATACATTCCACTGAATAAAAATAATACCTGAATAGATATATATATAAGTTTAGCCCAGGAATAATCCACCTCCAGATATTTTAAATATTTCCAAAAAATCCCAAGTCGATGTTCATGTTGGCTGCGGTTAACAGGAGTTGATATCCAAAACATTTGGGAAGGATTGGATAACTTGGCTCTGCATTAATAAAATATAACGTAAATCTAGCATATTCTGCAAATGAAAATGGTAACTTAGGAAAATAGAGTTCTTCATAAGGTTGATAGGGAATGCCTATACAGTTCTGTTGGCAGTCATCAATACTAATTTTAGAATTCGAATCCATTATTGAACATAGGGCATGGTAGATAATCCTTGAGAGGTAATCCATCTAGATTCTAGCACTTATAGTGTCTTAAATTCTAGTAAAGCTTACAGCAGGCTTGTCCAGCCCGCGGGCCGCATGCGGCCCAGGTCGCCTCATAATGCGGCCCAGTGCCCACCCCAACCTTCTGGCAAGAGGCAGCGAGGAGGAGGAGGAGAGGCAGGCGTGAGGCGGGGCGAGGCGAGCGCCACGCCAAGCAGCAACAGAAAAGGCGGGCGCCGCCTTTGCTGCTTCTGCCCCCGCCGCTGCTGCTTCTGCCCCCGCCGCCACTTCTACCCCCACCACCGCCGCCACCGCTTCTGCCGCTGCTGCTTCTGCCCCCCGCTGCCGCTGCAGCTTCTGCCCCCGCCGCCGCCACTTCTGCCCCCGCCGCCACTGCCGCCGCCGCTGCTGCTGCTGCACCGAGCCTCCCGGTCCTCGCCTTCCAGTCCTGCTGCATCCAGCCGGGCCATTTGCAGGAGGAGAGGTAGGCGCGAGGCGGGCGAGCTTTCTTCCCCCCCCCTGCAAAATTTGGCTGGAAAATTAATAAAAAATAAATAATTTTTAATAAATAATTAATAATAAATAATAAAAATAATTTATTATTTATTATATAATTTTATAATATAATTATTTTATAATAATTTATTATATGTGCGGCCCAAACCAAATTTTCATATTCTAATGTGGCCCAGGGAAGGTGAAAGGTTGGACACCCCTGGCTTACAGCATTAATTATAAAATGCATAATTTATTATAGCCATTATAATTGATAACTTGATATAATTTGTATTGTTCTTTTACATAAAAATACATTGCTAAATTGTTGTGTGATAGGAGATTATGACTGAGTTTCAAGGGATAATAACTGTAAATTTTGTGATGATGACTATTAACAATCTCCAGTTTATTCTTTATCAATTTACTTTGAAATAGATTATATGTGCTTATCGATACACATTCATCCTATAGAAATCTTTAAAGATTCAATTCAAATATTGAATTTGAATTTCCCTATCAGAGTCCTGGATATTAACATGATGCTTTCTCAGCTGCTAAGCAGAGGGGGGGGGGGAAAGCTATTGTTAACATTAAATATCTCTGCAAAAATGTATTTTCTTCATTAATGTTTTTAGAGGATGAGCACCTCCATATAATAGAGGATTTCCCTTTGAAAAGTAGATATTTTCCTGAATTGCTTTTTACCAATGAAGGGAAAATCCAACTTTAACATTCTAATTCAAAATACACATTAAAGATGTCTAAATTATTCTTCTTTTCCAAAATCTTACTTGCTAGATAGAAATTAATACAACTTTCTTTCTTTTTTCTTTTTGTCATTTTCATGGAATGTGGATTGTTTTTCATTATTCTAGAAAGATTTTAGAAATCAGCATTACTTTCCCACAACCTATAGGAATTTCATCCTAGAAGACATTTGATTTGTTTCTACCACATTTCTTTCTTCTCTTTCTTCTCTCCCTAAGCTCATGGATTTTCCCCCAGAACCATTTTAGGGCATTTCTACCTGTCAAAGTCAGACTCCATAGCTTGCATGTTATCTTTTAGAAAGATTCTTGGAATGGCAAAATTCAAAGTTGAACATGGGTGTGTTCCTTGCTGAAATAGTTCTTAAATCTTGGCAAATGTTTTTTAGATTGATTTGCAGAGCAAAATATAATCCAAATGGGAAATGTAACATATAACTTTTTTTTCTGATTAGTTTGTTATACCAGAAGAAATGCTGAATAATTCCTTAATATCTGAATATTGGAAAAGTGTTTTAGCAGTCTAATAGTAGGAAAATGATAAAAATCAAACAAATATTTTGAGTAAAAAGTAAAAAAAATGGTATTATCTTTGAAAAGCTGGAGTAAAATATATAAATGAAATTTAAAAATTGCTTTTTTTGTTCATTACTGTTTTGAAATGAGTATATATAAAGCAGAGAGAGATTACCTGTTTAATTTCCTTTTTTCAGTTATATGGGAATTGGGCTCTCAGCTCAAGGAGTGAACATGAACAGACTGCCAGGTATGATGAAAAATAATTATTATTTTTTTTAAAAAAACCTTTATTATGATATATTAATCCATTCAACTTTTCTTTCTTCTAGATGAGAACTATCTTTAATATGGTTTTTTTGCTTTTGTTCAAGCTATAGTTTTTGTTGGTTTTTGTTCAAGCTAAAGCTATCGTATCAAAACTTACTCCAACATTTCAAGAGCGATTTGCAGGAAGATAATGCAGGCCTTCCATGCAAACATCAATTAAACACCATTTTGCATAACAGAACTGAAAAAAGCACTCTGTAATTCAGTATAAATTTCATTTGGAATAGGCTACTCATATAGATGGGTATTTTTGTCCAAAAAAGAGGATATTCAACATGCCACAGTTATGTGAATATCTTAGCTCTGCTTAGGAAGCCTCAAAATGTAACATTTTGACCAAGAAAAGGAGTTGAGTTGCTAATAGAGAATTCGAAAAGATAGTTTTTACACTATTCTGATGCTGATTTCACTTTAAGCACAATATATTTGAGGAACATTTCCTAAACAATTGGACCAAAAAAGAGTTATCAGTAACATAGATGTTTTTCTTAGCAGTTATTTGAAACTCTTCTTGGAAATTGTAAATGCTTTGGAGGAATTGATTGCTAATTATAAAATAGAATAGAATACTTTATTGGCCAAGTGTGATTGTACACACAAGGAATTTGTCTTGGTGCAAATACTCTCAGTATGCATAAAGAAAATGTACATTTGTTAAGAATCAAGAATCATAACGTACAACACTTAATGATAGTCATAGGGTACAATCAACAATCAAATCATACTAGGAAACAGTCAATATAAATCGTAAGGATACAAGCAACAAAGTTACAGTCCTACAATCACAGGTGGGAGGGGATGGGTGATAAGGAGTGATGAGAAGATTAACAGTAATAGAAGTGTACACTTTGTAAATAGTTGAACAGTTTTGAGGGAATTTGTTTAGCAGAGTGATGGCTTTCGGGGAAGAAATGCTTAAAGGTTTCTGTGTTGGTAATTGCCCAAATTGCACTGTGTTTTTCATTTTGTATATGCATGGTGGTTTAAATTACCACTCTCTCAAAAAAAAAAATTAATCCTTTTTTTCTTAATTGAAATATAGCCAGTTGTTAGATTAATTTATGTATGGCTGAATGAGTGAAGGGCTTCAAACTGAGCAGACAAGAGGATGTACATACTGGCCTTAGCCCCTTTTCTCCTCCTGACTTCGATGTATTCTGCCTGAAAATTGAAGACAGAATTTATTCATCTGTTTAGTACTATTATTGATACATTTTGGAACTGTTTTTTATAAGAGTACTGAATCACATGAAATTCTCTATGGTAGTTCAAGCAAACATATTATATAACACTTTTTTAATTTCTCAAACCATAGTCTAAAAATCTAGACTAGTTTTTATAATCAGTCATTCTTCACTGCTAGTCAGTCTCAAGTACACTTATTTTTGTAACAGTAGCATAAATCCTAGATTTAGTTTTAAACTACAAAAAAAAAAATCTTAAAATGCATTTTAAATAATAATTAAATAATTTGATACATTCTAAGATTGGTTGTGATTTTATCCCCGGCACTGTGTATTCTAACTGTCCTTAAGCAGTGGAGAGGAAATGCAGAAAATATTCGTGGTGTGAAAAGTTTAACAACTATATTCACATATTTCAGAGTATGTCTCCTTGAAACCAGGGGAATTGTTCTTGAAAAATCATATTTATAAACTTCTTTATATGCATTTTATTTACATTTCTAAAAATTGTACTGGGAAGGAAAATGAGAAGGGAAGAATTCATTTCATTAATTAATTTTATTACTTTGAACCAGATTTTAATTATTTGTTCTCATACAGAATTCAGCAGATTATTGATGCGAATGCAGAATGCCAAGAGTCCATACATAACTTTCCATGCATCATCTGTTTTTTATGCTTCTCTAGCCTCAGATGCAGCAGACAGTATCATGTTGTAATGCCAAAACCAGGTTCATTTTCAAAGTCGGTTTACTGAAGATTTCTAAACTCTGTTAATTTATTTGTATAAGACTGATACAACTAAATAATACAGGAATGTGTGAGAAAATTTCAACCTAACAGCATGGTGAACAGGCCAATAACAATCTTGATAGAACTGACACTAGAAAAGATGGGAAGGGATGGGACTTGGGAAGAGAAGAAGGGGAGAATACTGTTTCCTAGGTACAAAGAGAACATTTCAGTAACTCTTCTGCTGCTTTCAAATCTTGCACTGAACAAGAACTTCACAGTCAGTTTTTACATGCCAAACCTTTTAATCTATGGCCTGTGCTGAATCGGGGACAAATTATTTGGTGAATGGGTGGCAACTATAATTAAGGGAACTTTTGTGTAACTCCATCTTGAGCGCCAATTAAGGCCTTTCCTGGAGAACTTGCTCATAGTCACTCATGCCTGGTCACCTTTAATTTGGACTATTGCAATGTGCTTTTCACGGGGCTGTCACTGAAAATCACCCCAAAGCTTCAACTGGTTAAAAAATGCAGCACTTTTAAAGTGATGGGAGCCTTTAAGTTTTCCCGTTTAACACCTCTAATGCAAGAGCCTCACTGACCACCAGTTTTCTTCTGCATGTAAAATAAGTGCTGGTTGTTACCTTAAAGCTCTGTATAGCTTAGGTACTGATATTTATGCAATCATCTTCCAGTGGCTTCAACTCTGGACCCTTAGGAAATGTCATATGCAGGAGTCATAGCAGTAAGCTGTTTTAATTGTAGCCCCTTTCTCTGGAACAGCATTCTTTATGAGGCCAGTATGGCTCTAACCTGTTTTCCCATTTGGAAATCCATTAAGCCATTAAATTAAATTAAATCCATTAAACTTTGGGAATAACTTTGTGGTGACAGAGACTATGTTTGGAAACTTTAGGCTACTCCTTGGAGTGCTGTTATTCTGTTTTGATATGGATTTTACTACTGTTATTTTAATATTCTTTCTTATTTATTTTATTCTGTAAGTTAATTATACTATTTTTTAGATTAAAGCAGCATTTAGATTACAACAAATAAATAAATAAGCATTCTTCCTATCTAATAGTTCATAGTGCTGCAAACACACACAGCTAACTTATGTATCCATGATACCTTCTGTTTCTTGAGCTCAGAAGCACAATGTTTGTCTTCCTGTCTTTATAAAACATTTTTTTAAAAAATTCTTGCATGTTGAGGCTGAGACAGTCCAGACATTTAGTTTGCATCCAACCTTCAGCAAACTAGTACGATTTGATATAGTATTTGAATCTGTTGAAAGAATAATTAAATTTAGATGCAGCTCAATCTATTTCTGGGCATTTTATGATATAGTAAATACTTCTTTTTGTCTTTTTTCTAGGTTGGGATAAACATTCATATGGTTACCATGGAGATGATGGGCACTCATTTTGTTCCTCGGGAACTGGACAGCCCTATGGTCCAACATTTACAACTGGTGATGTCATTGGTTGTTGTGTAAACCTTATCAACAATACCTGCTTCTACACAAAGAATGGGCATAGTTTGGGTATGAAAAAATTATTCTATTTTGTGAAAATATCAAATCCTGGATGATAGCAAATTTGACAAATCTTTCCAAATTTTATATTTCTGTAATTTTGATTCAGAGCTTAACTCTTAACAAAAATATAATGGTTAAAGTTTGGCTCAAACAGATCTTGGTTTCTCAAGCAAGGTCCTTGTTAGTACCTCTCTGAGGGCTATGATCTGCTTTGGAAAAATGTAATATCCAAAGTTATCCATTTTAAAAGAATAAAATATTATTAGTTTGAAATGAAGCTACAGTTTTAATAGCATGCTTGAAACATGCTTCTGTTCTGTGGGAATGGCATTCCTGAAACACTAAATGAATTCTGAAAGTGTTTCTGATCTTTTATCAATGAAAGTTCAGAAAACTTCATTCATTCATTTGTATAGCCACCCATTTCAAACCAGTGACTCAGGGGAGAAAGTAAAAACAATAACAACACAATACATTAAAAAATGAAATACAAGCAACAGCCAATTGCTGTTACTTGTTGGTTCTATGATCTATCATCAGTGGATGGCAATTTGATAATAGCTTTGAAATTTATATAGATTATTTTATTGTAAATATAGCCTTTTAATATGTTTGCTTTCCAGTTACTCTGGTTATTTCAAGAATTAATGTTTGAGTAAGTTAAATATTTTTCAGTACAGCTTAATTAAACAAATAAGGATATGGAATTATACATTCAGTGAAAAAAAATTGAAATGAACACATATGTGATAATTTCCCAGTTTTGGTTCTGTTGGTTTCATGTAGTAAATATTGTATAATGAATGCATTACAGTTTTAATTTTCATCTCAACAAAAGAGAAAAACTAATAGACCTAATTTTATAGGGTAGTTTCTTAAGGTAAAGTATTGTATATGATTTGAGAATGCTAGATAAAATATATAGCATCTTAGTAGAACAATTAGACTTTCATATGAATCGTTGATAACTTAGATAATACGTTGCCATTACACCCAGAGTTTTGAAATCTAGAGAGCTAGATTTGTATTAATTAAATATATGTATATACTGTGGGAGAGACAACAAAATGTATACCTGTTATGATCTCAGTTTCCTTCTGGCTTCTGTTGGTGAATGGGATTCTGTTGTAACATCCATCTAATATTGTTGAAGGTAAAGTATTGAAAGTGAAGGCATTATTAATATGCTGGTAAATAAAGTAGAATAAGTAGCTTGCAAGTATCAAGTTTTTTCAACGAAAAAACCCACCCCAGGTAATGAATGGGCTGTGGTATTCAGATCTAAGTGCTGAGAATGGTATCAAAAAGACTTTGAGGAGTTCAGTCTTAACTCTTTAGAACTAGGATCAGTAGAGAAAAGAGAAAAAGATTTCAATACACAAGTCGGCTGAGATTTTTGTTTCCATGTTGATGAAATGTAGTGGCTTTCTCCTTGCAATCCTGCCATGCATACTATTGTTCAGTGTTTTCCTGTTGGTGATCTCAGGAATACTGACATTCAGCAATGCAAGAGAGGCCTTTAGTTTGTTAAGTTATTACCCTGCTGTTCTTTGAGACCTCCTGGAGAATTGCCTCCATATATAAACAATCTGCTTTCTTTGGAAATATTTATATTTCCAGCCTGGTGAGCATTAACAACTGTTTTTTGGAAGTCCTCAGAAATCTCCCTTGTTTGAACCGTGACACATTTCTACATACCTATGTTGTGAAGATCAGATTTTGAATATCCAGAACACTGTTCTTTAGGCAGGACACTCCCCCCAACACACCTGATTATCATCCCATTGATTGAAGGACCTGACTTTAACTTTCCCTTCAAATGAGCTGATTATCCTAGAGGCTCAGGTACAGTTATGTGACTTTGAATCATTTCTTCAATAAAAATGAAGAAGAAGAATATTTTTTACTCATATGTTTAATTGGATTCATTTTATCCCGTTCTAAGATTTCTGTGGAGAAGAAGTCACATTTTAGGTCATATTTATACAGAAATATTGAAAATCCAAAAAGATTCAAAACATTTAAGCACTATTAGAAAGAGAAAAGAGTTGCCTATACATATTTGTCCTTCATATCTGACTTGATAAGGTGCAGTCTTTATGATAATACCAAAATAATTTGCTACATGAGAATTACATTTTTGCAGTAGCAGAAAATGTTAGCTGGAATGCTACATAAGAGACAGCGGTTATTTTACTGAATTTGGTAACAAAGCATTTGTTAGTCATAATATCATGTAACATTTAAATAATGCTGTATTTGTTTAAACTTGGACAAAGTAAGCATTGGAGAAATGTCCAAAGTTAGGTTTATTGCAATTACTTTGAAAATTTGAATAATATATTTAGTATCATAAGTTGAATAGTTAAGACCTGGTTATACCAGCAGGTCTGGATACACCGGGAGATGGGTGAACTCAAAGGTTGCTCCATTATTGCTCCACTGTTTATTACCTTTCTTCTTTAGTTCTGTTTTTATACAGAACTATTATATTACAGTTTTTAATATTCCTTAATATTTTAATTGTTTTAGGTAACAATTGTTTTATATCTGTTTTATTGTACTATTGTATGCTGCTCGGGGTCACTTTCCATGAGAAAGGGGTGGTCATACAAATTTGATAAGCAAGGACACTTTGGTAACCCTTTTCAGTTTGGTACACAGTAATGGAAGTATGATTCATAAGAATAAACTGAAAAAGTAACTTTTCAGATAGCTTTTCTTGAAAATGAAAATAAGAATTTCACTTGGTAAATTGGTGCTTGATAAATACTTTGACAATCCTTTACTTTCTGGCCTTGTTCATCACAAATGTAATTATATAAATAATGGAATGCGGTTGCTATTGGATGTTTTGCCTGTATAAATTTATTTTCTAACAAAAAGAAGTGAATAGCTGTTAATATTTTCTCTTGTATGGAGATATATTTTAACTACAAGAGCACTTGTGTTGACTGTGACAGCTCAGATTTTAATTAAATATTTCTTGATTACAGGTATTGCTTTTACAGACTTGCCGGTAAGATCATTGTATTAAAGTATAAAATATCTGTGCCCAAAGAGCATTTTCCTTGCTTACATAACATGCATTTTTCAGTTAATTCTATTTTTTTTTAATTATAAGAGCAAAGAGCATTTTAAAAGTATCAACATTATTTAATAAGCATTGGTTTATAATAATGGCAGAAGATTCTAAGGAATTGTGATTACTGTTTGGAGTTCTTTCTAACTTTTGATGTTTTATCTGGAGGATTTGCAAATATAGAATTTTAAGTTTAGCAGTAGAGTACATCCTTTGCATACTGAAGGTCTCTGATTAGGTTTTTGGCATCTTCATAAATATAAAAAGAAGTACTGACGAGGAAATTTTTGTGCTGAAATCTCTAGGCAGCAATGGCTAGTTTTTATGCACAGTAATGAGGTAAAAGTACTACACTAGATTAATACCAATTCTGTCCTTCCCCAATCTGAGTTCCCACAAGATGAATGGACTTTAGCTTCCAGAATTCTTAGCACTAATACTGCTGTTCATTATGCAAAGTCCACATTTTTAGAGGACATCCAGGTTGAGAAACAGTGCTATAACATCTACATCATGTTATGAGAATGTATTGATTTTAGTTTTTTTTTTGTTCTGGTAGATTTGAAAAATACTGTCCACCACATTAACCCCCCAAAAGCAATACATTATTTTAGAATGTTTGTTATATTAACATCTTCATTACAAAACTTATTTTTTTGTTTTTATAATTTTTTATTCTCGGAGACGCAGGCTTGCTTCAGACTTCTTGAAACCTAGATGCTGCTTCATTCAGTTCATAAGATTACCAAGTCTCTATTGCCTATCCTGATTGGCAAGAAGTCTGCAAGTTTCACTGAGTGAAATTTTTCCTCCTGAGGATTTCTTAAATAGCCTTGAAACTCAAACATTAACTACTTAATTTTTCTGTTGGTGGAGCATGCAGAAGTTATTAACTTAACGATGTGGTTTTAATGCTAACTTCAAATTATTTGCATTTTGTACAATTAAATTTTATATTGTAATTATCTCTTGCAGCCAAATCTATATCCCACAGTTGGACTTCAAACACCTGGAGAAGTGGTGGATGCTAATTTTGGACAACATCCATTTGTATTTGACATTGAAGATTATATGCGTGAATGGAGAACCAAAACTCAGGCTCAGATTGACAGATTCCCTATAGGAGACCGGGAAGGAGAATGGCAGACGATGATCCAAAAGTATGATTTGAAGATTATAATGAGTGTCTGTTTAAATTCCTATTCAAATTTGGGAGATTTTAAAACTGGTCCATTTTGGTCCTACAAATCTTGTTCTATATTTCTTGTACATTTGTGCAGTGAAATAAGACATGCAAATATGATTTTTATTCCTGAGAGGGTAATTTTATCTGATGTAGTTATCTCCATGTAAAACCATGCATTGAACTCCTTTGAAAAAATGTTACTGATTTTTTTGTATGTGGTAGGGCTGTGCAGCACTTTGGATTTGAAGGGAAAAGGGTAATACAGAGTTTCTTAAATATTTTTAAGGGCTGCTATGAGGACAGCCATGAGCCTGGAAAAAGACATTGTTGTTTTAAAGAATATTAGACAGAAGGTACATCTCACAAACACACACGTGTGCACGCACACATGCATACACACATACTCCTTGCAAAGCACTTTTCCCATCTTCATATCTGAAGCATTGCACAACTCTCATTATCTGATTACTGTAACTTGGTGGTGGCTGCCTTGATTTCTGGTCCAAACTTGTTCTAGTACATCTAATTTAAAAGGTATTTTATGATAACATCTTGAATCATTTTTGTGCTTGGAAATGTTAGAATTATTTTATGTTCACTAATTTCAAGTTTAAAAGTGATCTATAAAATGCAAATGTAGTTGGTAAAATTGTTTTAATTTAAGTGCTGCTCTTTTAAGCTTTGCATGCTTCATATTGATATTTTCAATAGGGTATGCAGCACATACCAGGAGAGGATAATTAGCATATTCTTGATTGTCACTAATTCCAACTGTACATGCCTTAATTCATACCATACCATGCAAATTAAGCAGAGAGCCCTGTCATTATGGATTCTTCACAATCATGATAGGGTATTTCATGTTATTGTGAATTGTTAGCACTGAAGTGTATTAAGAAGATACTGTTCTAGTAATTTGATGGGAAGATGGGTAGAATTATTTTCTCTTAATTATTTTATGAACAGTGTACTGCAGGTTTGATTCTGCTTGATTGAGGATGGAAAATTGTGTATATTTTTTCAGTGAAAGCTAAATTAACACATGCCATTTATTACTGTTGCTGCTTTTCATTCAAAGCCATTTGTAACTAATAGTATGTTTTTGAATCATGAATCATGTGGACACACTTGGATAAATTTGATGGATAGAGAATACAGATAATCTTTCCTCTTTAATATCCAAAACTACTTTGTCTAAGACAAAGAATACTCTTTGCATGCACATTATTACGTGTGTTACGCATCACTATGTTACCGCTTCTACCACACCTCTCACTGTGCTAAACTATTTCTCCATTGTGTGTAATTCCATTTTATAATCTTTGTTATCTTTGGCACTCTTGAATGTTCTGCTTAAACTATTAGGTTCCAACTGGTAATGAAGTGAATGTACATATGTATTTAAATATACATATGTATCCAATTTTAAATTGAGAAAAGTTAAATACATATAACTTGTAAATACATATCATGATATCCTTATTTATATCATATTTTATAATATATTTTATTTTTAACACTGTATATTAGAATAAATGTAGCATTTTATTCAGAGTAAATTTGCGTAACCTACTGAAAAAAAGTTTGTATCGAAGTGAATTTTCAAAGAAAAGAAATACTTGTAAATAAATTGCCTAATCAGCGGGATTAAATGGTAAAACTGCCTCCATGCTATATTTTGTATTAACTTTCTTTTACAGGATGGTTTCATCTTATTTGGTACATCATGGATACTGTGCAACAGCAGAGGCATTTGCTAGATCTACTGACCAGACTGTACTAGAAGAATTAGCTTCCATTAAAAATAGACAAAGTAAGCTTGAATAGTGCTGTGATGTTGTCTAAAAGCATTTAAATATTCAGTAAAAGAAATGCTTCTTCATAAGTAGCCTTTGGATTTCAGATATTATATTTCATTGATCACTGTTTTAAATATCTGAATAATCAATAGAAGCATGATTTTGTTTTACCAGAAATTAATTATGCACAAAAAATTGATTGGATTGTTACCTGATAAAAATAATGGTTATTTACTTAATTTCATTTTTTCACATTTATATTATGTGTTTATAAAAACAGCTGAATAAACAAACTGACAAAAAAAAATCTAACAATATGTAGAAATTTTAGTACACTTCCAATGAAGTAATGCTTACATGCTTTATTATTAGTTAATATCAATTTGCAGTTTAAAACAGTCTATATACATTGTCAAGACACCAATAGATATATAGCTTATAATTGTGATCAAAGCTATCTGGAATATTTTATATATTTTTGACAACACTGTATTAGCACTAAAGCAGATTAAAAATAAACAATTGTATGAATCCTTTTATTTTATTTATTAACTTTAGATCCTAGTCATTTGATCTCAAGTTTAGTAAAACATGATTAGAAAAAGATTTGTGGGACCCAAGGAATATATCAATAACATCATAACAAAGAAATACATACTCTTACCAAGACTGGAGACAAGAGATCCAGAAGTATTAATTGTTGCTTAAACTGGTCCTCAAATATACATTTTTAAACTTGTACTTTTGTTTCTGCTAATAGGAATTCAGAAACTGGTTCTAGCAGGAAGAATGGGAGAGGCCATTGAAACAACACAGCAGTTGTACCCAAGTCTATTAGAAAGAAATCCTAATCTTTTATTTGCTTTGAAGTGAGTCTTTGTGTAATGCAGATGTTTGTGAATAAATAGTCTGGGGGAGTCTATTGTGTCCATTTTATAGTTTCCAAGCTCCTATAGCAGCAAATTACTTTACTGATCATCTGGGAATTTAGGTAGTTATATTCACCGAATGAATAACTAAATAATGGGTCCAAACTTTGCCCTATTTTTTAATTTCAAAAGATTAAAACAGTTAAAAACTAGATTAAAATTTAAACATTTCTGATTATTGATTCTACAATAGATCATTAGAATCTCCTTATAGCCAGTTTGTGAAGAGTGCCAATAACCATTCATTTGAGTTTTAATTTTTACATGTCTATTGCCCATAGATAACATCAGTGCTGCAATTCATTGTTTTGCCTATAGAGTTGCGTCCCACGGTTTAAAGACTTTTTTGTTGTTAAAATGTGTTTTTTTTTTAAATTCCCCCTAAGTGAAAAGGTACCTCCTTGTAATAGTTACTCCCCCAAGAAGCAAAACTGATTTGATTGAATGGAACATAGTTCTGGATATGCATGTTGTCCTTGCTTAATTTTCTAATATACTAGACTTCTGTGGGAGACAAAGAAGACTTCTTCCTTTATTATTTCATTATTTTAATATATCAATTTAGACACGTACCTAATTAAATAGATGCATAATTGGCCATCGTATAAAATAACAGGAAGGCCCCATTGTACAAATCTTTAGTGCTAATACTACAAGCTTGGTTTTTAAAATTATTGTTTAATCTTCATAAATAACTTCTCTTCGTGTTTTCCAGGGTACGTCAGTTTATAGAAATGGTTAATGGTACAGACAGCGAAGTACGGTGTCTAGGAGGTCACAGTCCAAAATCTCAAGATAGCTATCCTGTTAGTCCACGATCATTTAGTAGTCCTAGTATGAGTCCCAGCCATGGAATGAATATCCATAGTCTATCAACGGGCAAAGGAAGTAGCACGCACTGTTCTGGTGAGTTTGAAGAAGACGACATGCCGCTTCCTTATCTTCTTCAGAGTTTAGACTCATTTGTCACTTAGCACGTGGAATACTTTGTGTTGTGCATCCTAGCCTGGAATGTCGAACAGGAGAAACAGCCTTTTTTTTACCAGTATCTACTTCATGGGTTACCAGCTGTTTTATAATACTCTGTCCCCACTACAGGTTGCACTTCCATGAACAGTTTACATAATATGATCTAGTTTAAACTAGAGGAGTTCTTGCTTTGTGTGATGTCATTTGTTTTCAACAATATTTGATTTAATAAAAATTGATATTCTGAAAGTTTGAAAAAAATAGAAATGGAGCAGGAGGAAAGAGAAAGAAAACATACTCAACAAACTGCTATAGGTGTTAGCATCGCCTTTATTGTGAGAATAAAGATCACTCAGAAATTTGTGTCATGATGTGTACCTAGAATAAGGGAAGTTGTTTATGGTACTACATTCTGGGAAAGAACTATCCTTTGAGCAGGACTGGATTTTAGGTATTTTAAGGCAAGAATCAGGATTTCTTTTAAATTAGCTTACCCTCTATATTACTTGATGTATAAGAGGTATTCTTATGTGATTATAGCATAGCTATGTCCATGTAGCTTATATTAGTTAATGCATACAAGCTATATGAACTACATATACTGTAATCATGTAAGAATACATTCTGTTAATTCAAAACATTATCTGATGCCTTCGCCTTTTTTTAGGTTTTGAAAATAGTTGCAGTAATGGAGTGATATCAAACAAAGTTCATCAGTCATATTGTCACAGTAAACATCAGTCTACCAGTTTAAATGTACCAGAACTCAACAATATAAATGTAACAAGATCACAACAGATCAACAACTATTCCAGGTACATAAATGTAATTCTGTCTGGTTCTATTATTTTTCACTCAGCTGTCGTGTTTGTTTTCCTGCTCTCCTTTATTATACTCTATTCCACTCTTTCCTTGTTCTCCTCACCCACACGACAGTATTCCTGTATCAGTCTGGAGAGATGGAGGTGGGCTGCCACTGAGAATTGGGTTGATAGCAGCTTGGTATCAATTCTCATATGTGCATGTCAAGGACAACATATCACAATGTTAATAGGTTAAGTATCATGACAAGAACTTAGCATCCCCCATCATGCATGGGTAGATTGTCTGCCTGCAAACTTCCAGATTGCAAAGGAGAGCAACAAGAAAGCCCATGGCTTCATTTGATCTCCCTAAAATTTAAAGCTAGGGCTATTTTGTGTATTTTATCATTTTTTAGGCTTTTTCTAGAATCATTTAACACCATGTTGAGCTGCAAGATTTTCCCTATTGACTCTCTTATCTTGGCAAGAAAAGAGCTGTCTTACCGTAGCACAGGCTCTATTGAAAGAGTCAAGAATTTCAGGATGCTGGAAGCTATAGCTCAGCAAAACCTGGAGGCAGCATATTCCCCATCCATGGGCTACACATCGTCTGCTGAAAACAGAATTTAACTGTATTGTGGATATATAGTTAAATAATGGTGGTATCCTGCCACATCAAGGTTGTAGATTACAATATGATTATTTATAGATGAGGTTTAATTCTAAAAAATATCCATTACTTTCTTCACAGCAATGATGTAGACATGGAAACAGATCACTATTCTAATGGAGTTGCAGAGACATCATCCAATGGTTTCTTAAATGGTAGTTCTAAACACGATCATGAAATGGAAGAATGTGACACAGAAATGGGTCTGCAATGATTTTTTTTTACCTATCTACCTTTGCAGATTGATTTTTATTACTGTTATTTGAAATGATTTCCAAATGATAAGAATAGTTAACTCTTATGTCAGTTTATATATGTAACATTATCATGAAAATATTTTATGCAAAGTATACCTGAAACATACCATAGTATCCCCCAGATATGTTTTTGTCCATGTTCATACTGATGATAATAGGTCCAAAATACCTGGAAGGTACAGGCCACCTTTGCCTGAATACATAAATATTAAGTATCTCAAATACTTGAATTAGCATTATTTTTGTTCGATACCTTACCTGTGTCAGTTTCATGGCTCAGCTAAGTTGCAGAATACTGATGGGATTAGAATATTAAAATGGGGATAAGCTCCATTTGTGTAGTATTTGATTAGGTAAGTGCTCAAAATGGAGACTCGGATGTGCTTGGTAGTTTGATGCTACTTGGTATGCTTCTTCACGCCATCATTTGATTCTTCCGGGTTGAATAGTATGTCTTGGCATCAACCACATAATTTTCTTGGCAAATGACTGATGTGAAATAAAGACATAGATTGAACAATGCCACAGTACCTCCTCTACAAATGTTTTAGAAAATGAATTATCAGTCTACAGAACAAAACGTGACATAGGGTTTTAATATTTTTGGTAACTGCCTAAATTCTTTGTATGCTTTGACTTACTGCTTGAGATACAGAACAGCCTAATTTGTAGAAATATCAGAAAATAATTCTGTGACAGTTGAATTTTTCAGAGGTCAGAGTTGGGATATAGTAAAAAGCTGTGAACAAACAGTTAGATGCTCAGAAGCTATATTGTAGAGCAACATTTGCAAGCTGCAAAAGGATCACATGCATTTTTCACACAAGGACTAAAATGAGCCTAATAAGATGTTTAAAACAGTGTTTTTGTCTGAAGGATTTTCAAAAATTGCCGATTCTCTTTATTTTATAAGGGATAGAATAATATCATAAGTGTTTGTTGTTCAGGTTCAAGGAAGCTATTTTATTCCTTAACTTCTTCCCCTCTCCCCAAGCCACAAAAAAATCTCAGGCATGTATATTCCAGAGAAGCAGAGCATCTTCAGATTGCCACATCTTTTGGCTTTGGTCTCCACTTCATAGAACTCTTTTTCAAAGTATTGTTTAGTGTTTGTATTCCTTGGTGATTTCAGAAAAGCCGTAAAAGCTGTTTGTTTCCCTGGGCATTTGCGCCCTTGAAATTTTTTTAAATTGGTGTGTCATATGAAGTTTCCTGTAAAGGTAGTGTAGCGTAGTGGTGAAGGTGTTGGACTTGGACTAGGGAGACACAGACAAATCCCCAACTGATGTTCAAACTGTCTGAATGTTTTTAGACTAGTCACCCAGCCCAATTTACATTGTAGGAATACAGTTAATGGGAAATCCTCATATAACCTTTTAACTGTCTGAGATGGCTGGCTAGAGAGAGAGAAAAAAAAGTAATCATTGTTATCATAATGTACAGCAATCTTATAAATACTGTATATACTACATATATAAATACTGACTTAAATTTGAACATGTCCCATACTTGATTGTTTTCATCATTATCTAATTACTACCTTCTTGTTCTTTAAGAGGTGGATTCCAGTCAGTTAAGACGCCAACTATGTGGAGGTAGCCAAGCAGCTATTGAAAGAATGATTCACTTTGGCAGAGAATTGCAAGCTATGAGCGAACAACTAAGAAGGGAGTGTGGCAAAAACTCACAAAACAAGAAAATGCTCAAAGTAAGTCACCTTTGTATAGAAATTGCTAATAATATGATAGGTTTAGATTCTACTCCATTTATACAATGTAGAGGAAAATTGTCATTTGCTTGCAGACATTTCATTAGCCAGCTAGGTAATATCATCAATGTAAGTATGGAGTTTGCACCCTACTTATATATAGTAGCTTTTCCTGCCAGTTTTGATGGGGATGTGGTTTTCTTCTCATTAGTTCCTAGATTAGAATACCATATTTTGCCTGATTGCTTGACTGGTATTTATCCCTGTTTATCTGGGTGTTTGGCTACTAGAGAAGATGTGTTCTGATCTTTTTGTTTCCTCCTTAGCTTTTTTTATTGTCTCTTGAATCCTAGACTAAACTAAATCCAGAAATATTATGGGTATTTGGAAGCTTGGCATTCAGACAAATCAGCCATCAGTAGACCCATAGAAATAAACCACATTTCCATGCTATTCAAAAGACCCAATAAAAACACCAGGAAGGAAACAAAAAGACTAGAACATATTCTCTCCAGCAGCCAAGATATCCAGATAAAGGATTAAATAAGGGAAACAATCAAGCAGAAAACAATACTGTAATCAAGGAACTGCCAAGGAGAAAACCACACCCCTACTAAAACTGACAAAGCTGTAAACGGGGAGCAAACCCCACACTTACTCAAACTGATGATTCTACTTTCTTGGATAATGAAATGTCTTCAGTCAAACAACTAAGCTCAGAGAGTGCCAAAGACTCCCCAGTTCAACCCCGAGTTACATAAATTCTCTTCTCTTGGTACTGAAAATATAGCTAGCATGAAATTGTGCTGACTTTTCCTTTTGCATAAGTGATTGGAAGATTGAATTGTATTGAGGGGAATGCAGTAGAATTAAATTTGATCTTGAGTAAGGTAAAAACTAATACTGAAAATAACCTTAGTTTATTTCAATAGGAAGAACAACGTAAATGTCATAATGGCACATTTCATAGAAGGTCTCATTTAAGTCATGAAGCCTATTCTCCTGCTTTATGCAGTAATCCTAAATTGAAGCATCCAGAATCAATGACTATCCAGCCACTAATTTCTAAGATTTGTTTTTTCCCCCCAACAGGATGCATTCAGTTTACTTGCATATTCTGATCCATGGAATAGTCCAGTTGGAAATCAGCTGGATCCCATTCAGAGAGAGCCTGTATGTTCAGTTCTCAACAGTGCAATACTTGGTAAGCCTGTTAAGTTTCCTTCTTTATACAAATTTATTAAGGCACATTAAACACAGAGGAAACAGATTACTTGATTATTGAAGGAAATTCTTGTACCATAATTCACTAAACCTTAGCATTCCATTTGGTGTGCCATTTACTATCAAACTCATGTATACAAAACAAGCAATTCCATCCAGAGGCTTGTTAGCAGCCAGAGTAGGAAAGCCATTTCACCCCCCCCCCCCCCCACCTCATGCTTTTCTCTACTCTGCCCCACTCTTATTTCTTTTTCACTCCTCTGATCATAGGGAAATATGAAATTTTCAGCTACTGACTTAGAAACAGAACAAAGGATTGCTCCATTACACCTAAAATAATTAGCATCATTCCATAATGTCTTGACATTCAGGTACTGTGTCACCCAGGGTGAGCACCTTTGCATTACTAGTTGAGAGGATACAAATGGGCCTTCTCTTTCACCAACATCAGAACTTTCTATCAAGACTTTATTAATATTAAGTAAATATTGAAGGTATTAACATTTTATGATTTGACATGGTCTGCATAGTGAATTAAACTACTACTTAGTATGGAATTAACATTCCATTCCAGTAATTTTGAAAATAAGTTACTTGAGTTGGATAGAAATATTAGTGGAAATTATTTTTTGAGAAGTAAAACAAGTTAAAATAGTGCATTGTTGAATTTTTTCAGAGACACACAATCTACCAAAGCAACCTCCTCTTGCTCTCGCAATGGGACAGGCTTCACAGTGTCTAGGTCTGATGGCCCGATCAGGAATTGGATCCTGTGCATTTGCCACAGTGGAAGATTATCTACACTAGCTATGCATCTGAAGGTGTCCATGGTGTATAATGTGGCATATATTCAACATGAAAGTAGACCAACTCTGCCAATTGGGAGTTTGGATTTTTTTTAATTATGTACTAAGGACAGGTCTGTTGCTTTACATTGCTTCCTAGTTTACAGCATGATGCAAATGATTTTCTAAACTACTGTTAGGAGATATTTTCCATCTTTAACCAGAGTTAAATATCATCAGTAACATCAGATTGAAAAACCTTTGAATTGTTACAAACAAACCAAAAAGTTCTGCCTTCCTCCTGGAGGGCAGGGCAAAATAGATAATGTTGTGGATGTGTTAGTATGTGGGTGATGTAAACTTCAAGCAGAATAATTTGCCAACTTTCACCCTCATTACATAGATCAATCAATGTAATTTGCAAACTGCATATGTACCTGACAGTTTGGCTGTATAGTATTGATGGGAAGAAATATTTTTAATGTGTACTGTAAAACTTGAAATACTCAGGAGCTGAGTGAATATGTTTGTTGCTACTTACAATCTCAACCTGTTTCCTAGTGGTTTTTGTTTTAACATGGTTGTTTCAGCTCTGTTTCCTGTTTAACTGCAAACAACTTTTGTTGTAGACTCACCTGTTTAACTGTTGTATTATAACAGTATTACATGTCAACACAGTGTGGTTATGGCCTATTTATATAAAAACCAAATATTTAGTCAATTTCAGTCTTAATTTAATCTTTGTACACCCTGCATTTTAAAAAGTGCTTAAATGAGTACTCTATTGCAATAAAATGTAGTGATACCATAATTAATCAGCCATTAAATACTTACATATGGTAGGATTGCTACCTTATTTTTCTGCTTGTGTTGTATTTTGGATTCAAGTAGATTAAATTTAAATATTTAAATTTAAATATTTAAATACTGTGGTTTCTCTTCAGATGATATAAATCCTTCATCCTTAAAATATTATTGCTAGGTCAAGTGACCTATCATGTTACGATCTAAGGCTGATGCAACTAAATTAACTGCCCTGAATTAATTGTGGTTAACCTTTGCTAAGCATATACAGCTGATATAAAAACAGAAATAGTTGTGTAAGTGGATAGCAGAATGTGGTTACCTATACCAAGTGTCAACAAATGCAGGCAATGGACACCCAACATATGATTCTCATAGGTCGGGCCCTATACTTATCCCATACTTTATGCAGCAGGAAGTCTACATAAGAGCTAACATTTGTTTCACATTTGACATTAAAAGGTAGCAAGATTGGATGTTATACAAAACCTGATCTTATCCTATAATAGGAAAGAACCCAAATACATACATTTGCTTCATTTTTTTTTGTCTGGAGGGAATGAAAAAAGCAGCATTAATAGTTCCTTCAGATATTAAGCCAGGAAAGCTTTTATGCTTTCACCAGAATAGATCCTGCAATAATCTACCTGTGGTTCTTAATGGAGTGGCAAGGAAACATTCCTGAATTATTGTGTAAAGAACTTATATTGGGGGAAAATGGTCCAACTTTATAAACAACTGTTGATGCTTTTGTTTGGTAAAGCCTTTTGATCTCACTGTACCATGCTCTTAACCATCTGCTTTTCTGGCCTGACAGGTTTGTTGGCATGGCTCATGGGCAACATTAACTCCTGCTGAAAATTATGGATTAAGGCCCCACTTGAGCAAGATTGTGTTACCTATATTATTCTCTGTTTTGTAAAGAAGGTATACTACTAGCAGTAATTTAACAGCATCTCAGGTCTATTCATAGAATGAAAGTCTCGTATGTCTCCAAGCAAATTTAAAAAATATATATAATGAAACGTGCAACATCAGTAGCAGAGTGGAACATCCCAAGGCTGTGATAGGCAGAATTTGCAAGGTGAAGATTTGGCCAGGCATCATTATCAGTATTGAACAGACTATTTCATTACTCAGCCTACTCCTTAGGTATAGCTACAGATGTAAAGCTAGAATGCTTCAGCTTCTGCAAAGTCAATCTACTGAGTCACCAAATTTGAAGGGATTATGTGATTGCCTTTGAATACAATAACCACTAGAATTAAAATATACTGTATTAGCTTTCCAATCTTTAGACTTTGAAAAGTAGGAGAGGAAGAATATTAATGAACTTTGGAGAAAACTCTTGAGACTATTGTGGACAACGAAAAAACAAACAAACAAATCAACCCAGAGTTCTCACTTGAGGTGCCAGTTGACCAGGCTCTAGTGACCCTACTTTGGGCATAAGACAGCTCTCTGGAGAAGGCTCTAATGTGGGGAAGGTGGAAGAAAAAGGATGGATCCAGACAGAGTGCCATGAATACACCACTGCCAAGAGATCTGAAACATCAGGTTTAGGGACAGATAAAATTTATGTGGCTGCTAAGAATCAGCAATGGCTTGATGTGTAATCAAGTGTCTCTCTTAATGCTAGTTGTTATTCCAATTCCCTTAGCGCAGGTTTGGGGGGCGTCACACACTGGCCACACCCACCCCTGGTTTAGCGAAGGGGGAAAAAGTTGCGCTACGTCACCTGACAACATGTCATTGCAAGTTTGACACCCCTTCTTACACCCCTGTGCTTAGAGAAATAGGGAGAGCAACAGAATTTGAGTAAAAATTAATATAATCCAGTGATGTCAGGAAATAATACTGAGATTTTAGGGGAGCCACCCTAAATTACCTAGTTCTAACTAGGATTCTGACTGAGATATGTAGATCTGGACTACAAGAATTATGGGGTTACTCCATCAAGAGACAAACGGCAGAGAAAAAAAAGCTTGCCCAATTACTTAATAGTGGTCTGTTTAGGCATAGTGGATACCTGTTCCTGAATAGTTCAATTTTTACAGTTAGTTCTTGATCAGTATAAAATTCATTCAGATGAAGGACAACAGCTTCCAAGTTTAACTTTTTTTTACTGGAAAGGAGCCAAATGTGAAATAAATTTCCTGACAACCTGATTTCTTCTTTGGACCTGCTTTGCTACTGGTGTTGACTCCTAAAGAAATTCAGCAGTGGATTATAACTATACCATTGTCTGCTGTAAGTATTCTGTGCTGGCTTCTTGCATATGACCATTCTGACTATGTCTCTTACTCTAGTAAGTGGGCTAGGGATAGGCAGTTAATGAATTAGGTATTCCTACTGATTCACATCTTGTGGTTCCCATAGGCAGCTAGACGGCAGGTTGGGGAACAAGCATTTTTGTTGGAATATTTACTAATTCCATGGGAATTATTTTCAGGCAAACTAGATTCAAAGTGTTATGTTTTAATATTTCCCATATTTGCAAACCTATATACAAATTATTTCAAGATATATCTTCGTTTTACAAATCTAATGTACTTCCAAAAAGCATGTTGTGGGTGCAGTAGTAAGTCAATTTACAGGTGTGGGAGAGTCAAATGTTAAAAAGCATTTTAGTAAAAATAGTGTCAAAATATTTAATAAACTTAATTTCTCATTCAATCAAAACTTAATTCAACTGAATTCCAAAGATCCAGGTAAAAACGTTTAGTTGGAACAAACCATTGCAAGACCTTAATTACTTTCCAGAAGGTTATACGTTTTAATTCTTTGTAAAGATTTAAAAGAAAACATAAATCATAAAAATGTTAACATATAAAACAATAGCAAGGACATTGTGTAATTCAAATACAAGGTATTTTGCAATGATATTGTACATAAGCAATAGCAAAATATTTCAGGGAATTAGTTTTGAAGATACCCAATGTTTTGTAAACCGAGTAGCTTTTTCTTTTTTTACTTTACCTAGGGAACAAGAAAACAGACAATTAGTTGAAAAAAGAAGTCAAGAATACTAAGTTGCTATAGGTTCCATAAAAGCTTGTATTTGCCACTGCTTGAGCAATCCCATTTAAGAAAATCCATTCACTTTCAACAATCTATATAAAAACAACTATAAGTCTATGGCATATACAGTATTTGTGAACAATTTGGTTAGATTTGCCATTACAGAGCCAGTTCATTTTATGTTAATCAAGCAGAAAGGGGAAAAAGTCTTCCTTCCATCTCTGGAATTTGAGATTGTTTTCTGTACTTTTCTGTAATTTTTTGAATTTGGTGGCCCAAAGAGACGAAGTACCTTGCTCCTTTTATTCCTTTGGTATCAAAACTCATATTTACATGACAAATCAGACATCCACTAATATCAGAACTCTCTCTCCAATATTATAGGAATAAATACAAAAATGTCTATTGTTTCTGGGAAGACTTTACAAGATTTGCAAACTAAAAAGGTTTCATTCAGGTCTTCTACCCTTCACGAACTTAAAAAAGCTTTATATATAAACTACAATTCTCAAATAAACATCTCTCTTTCATTTTTCTGGCAAAAATACAGATACAGTTTGACATTTGCTTTTCTACATTTTTTGCCCCTTTCAACTTTACATGGTAGCCTACAATCCTGGAATCTCCAGATGGTTTTACATCCGACTGTTTGACGCTGCTTGCTTTTTTAAAATGAACTAAAATTGACTATATGTGCTGTTATTATTGTTCAAGACCATAGGTGCTTTGAATGGTAGGTTATCTTGAGTATACTCAGTAGTAAACAGCTCTTATCTTAAACTACATGGACAGCTTTATCACCCAATTTCACACTCAAACTTCATAACCTAAGGGTATAAATGCCTCTCATGTTACAGACATCTTTAGCTACATGTGCTTTTGTTACACTTGACCATATTTATATTTTTCATATGTCGGAGCATGTAGGAAATTACCATTTTGATGGAAGGTCCTTCAAAATGACTACAGCAATTGCTTTGAACCAGATTTTCACATTTAGTAGATGTTCCTCAGTTAAAAGAAATGCAAAACCATGCAAAACCTAAGCTTAAAACACTGAAGTCAATAAAGCACAATCACCACAAAAGCTCTTTTAAATTGTTGCTATAAGACAAAGGAATATCATCTTACCCCAAGATCTATTCACAAACTGCATTGCAGCTTTTTTAACTGCATTTTTCTTGTTTTCAACCGAAAAATATTGATTTGCTGGAATAACAAGAGGGATTTAACTGAATTACAATTGTCATGCGATCAATATATTTTCTAAGTTCATTATGCAAAACTCCTTTACCAGTAGTTCGATTGCAGCTTGCTCCATAAAGATGTTTCTGTATAAAGTCTTTTGCTTCCTGTTGCTGTCGATTGGTTAGCTCCTGGTCTTTTAACCGCACAGCCATGTAATTTGGCGGGCATCTAATGATAAAGAAACAGTTAACGTATTCACTACCTTGGTTTTTTGCTTCATTTTACAGAGCAAAACCACATTCCCTATATATTAACCACATTGACTAAATAAAGCAATAACATGCAAACAAGCTAACTCTTATTCTAAATGTATTTCCATTATTCGTGTATTTACATGCTTAACACTCCCTCACTCTCATGACTTTGGGCAGGACTGTTCAACTCCCAAGGCTTTGAGAGGTTTACAATAAAATTAATGTTAGATAAGGAGATAGGTAGATGTCACCTGTTTAGGTTCAGATTAAGCAGTTTAATTTGAAGAATTGCTAGTTGCAGCATGAACTATGACTGAATTCAAGCTTATCAAGAGTTTTACTGTTTCAAATATTTAGCTTACATAAAGTGGTGCCACTTAACAGAGCTTCATCTGCAACTGATACTTCAATTTAAACTATTGCAAAAACCTGCTCGAAACAAAACAAATGTGCAATAGCAAACCTCGTGTTTGTTGTAACAATATTTTTGAATTACTCCAGATCACTGCAAAGTCTCACCATCCATAATATAAGCTTCTTCAGCATACATCGCATCAATTCTACAGCTACAGTCTTTTGAAGCTAAAACAAAGTATTTCTAAAAGTTACTGTAAGAGTGACTTCCATTTTAACTAACTGTGGCCTCTTCCTAAAGAAATTTAATTTGGGACCTTATAAAAGTACAGCACATCTCAGCAATCTGAACCTTCAGGAGACAAGGGTATCTACAACTGCCTAAATGAGAATGTTGCTTTTATTTGAGAATAAATTACAAATCAGTTTTTGCAAAGACGTTATCTTTTCTTGAAATTACTGTAATAGTTTAGTTCATCATACCAAATAATAACAACAAAGTCAGGGCTTACTAAACCTGGGGCCCTCTTAAGTATGGATTTCTATCTCCAGAATTATCTTCCTGCTGGCCAAGGAATTCAGAGCCTTGGTCTATACATCCAGAGGGTATCCAGAACTGGGACAGCTAAACTAAGCCATACCTGGTTGCCAAAATTTCTTCTTCACTGTCTTTTTCTGAATCGTCTTGATTTTCAACTTCATCTTCAACATCCTGATCTATAAATCAATACATGTGCTGAATATTAAAGGCCTTAAATTAATTTTAAATGGGATTTTAGAAACCCTTGCTTATAAATGTGTGAAATAAACTGATGACTTGTTACCAGAAAGAATTACAGTTCAGGATCCAGCCTAAATGGGAATTTTTTAAAAAATAAATACCAAGGTAGACAAGAATTGATCTGCATGCATAATCTCCAGAGGCTTTGATGCAAACCCTCCCTAAGTCTGAATTTTGATAGGAATCAATTGGGAAAATTTGATAACCTGCTTACGAAAAATCCCTTATCATTTTTATTAATATGTTGTTTAGAAAATATAATCCATTCTGCTCGGTATTTGCTGGCAGATATGGTTGTTATATTTGGTTAGCTAATTTTAGCATGACCTACTGATGCACAACTTTGCTTAGTCTCTCAGAAGTAACAAAAGAGTAATATTATTTTAGTTTTGTTAAGAACTTTGCCTTCTACAAGGATAAAGCCAGAGTCCTCCACTTGTACTTGTTCATGGATGGAGACAAATCTGCTAACCAAGACTTAAGGTTTACATGATGTTCTAGAACTCCCACGGCAAACTTGTTAACTATCAACTTGGAATGTTTTTTATCTGCAAAGAGTGGGATTACAAAAATGCCATCTTAAAAAAATACTTAGAAGTATTTACTGATCAATATTAAGGAACAGTAATATTTTTCTAAGTAGGGTACAGTCTTATTGACTAAAACTTTTACATCATTCTTCTAGACCACTTAGAAACATCTGAATGACCATCACAGAGAATTTTATATATTCATCTATTTCACATATTTATTTTATAAATAATATAAATATTAAATATTACTTTGAATTATTTTTTCAAATGGCCCAGTTCACCTTCTCTATTTGATTCTATGTCTGCCACATTACATGTGGATCTCAAACCACATTTTTATTCTAGTCACAAAATGATAACACACAGTAGAGGTAATATAAAAAGTAGACTTTTATACATACCTTGTTCATCAGTTGTTGAATTGATGCTAATAATGAAAGAAGTTGAGGAAGAATTTAAATATTTCATAATCTATAAATAAAAAGTTAATCACATGCAACCAAACTATCAATACTAAAATAATTAAAATATAGGAATTTAATATGACAGACTGTAAATTCCTCACATTCTTTCTTTTCAGAAATTGACAAGTTTTTGAACTGGAGGAAATAATTTAGCTTTATTTCAGGTAGGTACAAAAATAGTCAAGTACTTGACTCATTAACAGCAAAAGATTTCAACCTGTTTCTTACATCACAAGTTACTTTTGGTTTCACAAATGCCCCATAGAGGTGCTCCTTTACTTAACAACCATAATGGAGCCCCAAATTTCTGTTTCTAAGTGAGAAAGTTGTTAGGTGACTTCTGCCCCATTTTACGACTTTTCTTGTCACTGTTGTTAAGTGAATCACTGCAGTTATTTGGTTAGTAACACAGTTAAGTGAATCTGCCTTCCCCTTTGATTTTACTTGTCAGAAGGTTGCAAAAAGTAATCACATCACCCCAGGACACTGCAACCATCATAAATATGAACTAGTTGCCTATGTCTGAATTTTGATCACTTGACCATCACAGTTGTATGAAAAATGTTCATAACTCACTTTTTTCAATGCCAATGTAACTCTGAACTAAATGAATTATTGTAAGTCAAGAACTACCTGTAATACAATTTGATAAACATACAGTACTGTCATTTAGGGAAAATCAAGCCTGAGAGAAATGATGGAATGAACTGTTTCTCAGGATTACAGATAAAGATACACTGTATCTTAAAACTTGGAATAGTTACATGTCTCCCAGAACATATTTGCTTACCTGTTCTGTGTAGATGCCAACTCCTCCAAGACATTTTCAGGAAGCAGCTTTCTTTTCTGAGAAGATTAAATTTTTCCAATTAATACTACTTCTAGTCATTAACATAGTCTTCTAATGATTTTTTTGGACTTGGATATAAACTGTAGATCTAGTTAATTTAAGGCAGCAAATTAAATATGAAAATATAACATTATAACAGTAATGTAATACCTAAATCAAGCACATATTGATGTTTCCTGCCACAGCTCCCCAAACCCTGATCAATTGTGGTGCTAGCAGAAAATCTTTGCACAATTGCTTGTTATTGTCCCAGAATTACCTACTTTTTTAGTCGGTAAAAACAGCACTAAGGAGTTTACTTTTGCAAACTGCCAAATGTTCTGAGAGGAGAAATGGTTTTCATGGTAGGGAATAAATCCCTAAGAACAGTTTATTTCTATATCATTTGCTACATTCAGCACATATTCCCATGTCATTTTCATTGCTTAAATTTGTCCAATTTGATTTTCTTTGGATATGCCAAACAAAACTCACATCATCCTCAATCAAGTCCAGCTCACTTGAAGGACACATTAAGGCCACTTTAAAATGGTAGCTGAAACACTTAGTGGTACAATAGCAACATTTTGGTAGCTTTTCATCAAGACAATTCCTTGTTCATTAATTGCAACATGCTGTTACAAATTCTCAGAAAATCAGAAGGTGGTATATGTAGTCAAACTTACGGAGAAACATGATAAAAATTATAATGATGTTTATTCCCAGGTAGGGTGTAAACAGGTCTGAACCTTTTTATGTTTAACAAAGCATGACCGAGTACAATTAGCATATCAAACAAACCATCTCAAGAATTATATACACAAGGTGCAAAATTACCTTCTGTTCCTTAAATAGTTCTTCTCTATGCCGTCTCTTTTCTTTCAATACGGCCTTTTCTCTAAGAAAGCAAAATAAAATATTTAGGAAAAATATGCATTTGCTCCACAAAGCTGAAATCCTTCACACAATGCTGCCTACGTACAAGATAATGTAATTAAGGGAGATTTTTCTTTTTATGGGATGTATCACTTTGATTAAAATCTGTCTTCTTGCAATGTGTATAATCAACACCCAGAACACTAACAGAGTTGGAAAAGGGACCTTGGAGGTCTTCTAGTCCAACCCTTTTCTCAAGCAGGGGACCCTATCCCATTTCAGACAAGTGGTTGTCCAATCTCTTCTTAGAAACAATATGCGATGGAGCACCTGCAACTTCTGGAGGCCATCCGTTCCTCCCATTCATTGTTCTCTTCTAGGTTGGATCATCTCTTTCTTTGACAAGTTGCCATCCGTTACTTCCTATCCTGTCCCGAGATGCTTTCGAGATGCTTATCGACCCCCCACCCCTCATTACAAACGATACGAGAGGCAACTTTACAAATTCCTTCCATGAATACTGAGGCCAAACAAAGACAACGAGGAATGGAGCGACGGAAGGGAAATTCCTACTGAAAGCCTGGCCAGGATCGGACAAGGGGCCACCCCTGAAAACTGTCGCTGCAGTGACTTTAAAGGCTGCCTCCGTTGGCTTTTGGCTTCTCGGCTTTGCTATGCCGGAGCGGCGCACCCAGGAGAGGGAGGCGGTCCGGCCGCTCCGAGGCCTCTCTCACCCGTTGTTGCCCCGCCGCCCCGGTTCTCGCCTCGGGTGGCGGAGGAGGGTTCGTGTTACCTGCAGGCCCGCTCCCCCGCCAGCCGGCGCTCCTCCGCAGCGGCCTCCCGCGCCCTCTCGAAAGTCACCTCCTCTGGGGCCTCGTCGCTTTCTTCCCCGTCGGAAAAGGCAGCGGCGGCCATAACCGCCGCTTCTCTCGGCTCCCCTGCCTCAGCGCCACCACTGCGCGCCTCCATTTTGCTAACCTAAACTTCCGGTTAACCTCGAACTCTATCGCCGGAAGGAATCCCCCAGAACCTAAAAAGACCGTTGGGGGGGGGGGGTGTCTGCTTGCTTCCGTTTAGGTGCCGAGGAAGGCAGCTGGAAAATCGCCTTCATATTAGACAGTCTTTTTTAAGATAAAATCGTCTCGTTAGTGGTTTGTGGAGACAACAGAAACAATGTACAGTGTAAAATACCTGTAGGTGGGCGTTAAAGGGCTTTGATAAGGAAAGTGTGTAGAGATTCTCCGTCATCCAGGTCATGGTTGTCCCAAAGGTGCTGTTTCGGGAGGCAACTGGACTTTCTTATTTTTTTTCTTTGAAGACGTTTCGCTTCTCATCCAAGAAGTTTCTTCAGCTCTGACAGGATAGTGGGGAATGGAAGGATTTCTATTCTTTGCAGACAGCTGGTCATTTGCATCCTTTTAGAGGGTCACCTGAGTCGTACTCCTGGTTCCTGTAGTCTGCAATTTAGAAATCCATTCCTACTCCCACATCATACAAAGGGTATTCATCCCAAATTGTATAGCTAAAAGTCTGTAGAGATTCTTAAGTCGTCCAGGTCATGGTTGTCCCAAAGGTGGACAACCACCTTCAGGAGGCAACTGAGATTTCTTGGATTATTATTATTATTATTTTTTGAAGAAAAGACTATCCCGTCAGAGCTGAAGAAGTTTCTTGGATGAGAAACTAAACATCTTCAAAGAGAAAAAGCAAGAAAGTCCAGTTGCCTCCTGAAAAAGCACCTTTGGGATGCCCATGGGAAAGAAGATCCCAAAATGTAGGTTCTGACAATTATTTTTCTTACACCAATTGCAGCATTTTATGCTTCCCTCTCTTCCCAAAATGAAGAGTGGTCTGGTTAATTATGTCCCTTTGGTGTATCTGTCTGTGCATTGGATGAACATCTTTTCTTTCTAAACAGCCCATCTTTTATCTTGAACAGCAAATTAAGGTAGTGGTAATTGGAGTTGGTAGGAAGTGCAGTCCAAAACCCGGGCTATTATAATTGGACCGAAAAGCTGTAATTTGGCAGCAGGTTTTCAAGAAGTCTATCCAGGTGGACAGGGCAATCTAGGTAACCAATGAGTGACAGGACATAAACAGAAAAGCCTTTGAACCAGCAAGATTACATACTTTGATATTACATGTTCCAATTCTGTGGTGCTCTCTTTGACCCACTTTAATATCTGGTCTTCCATATTTGTGCAACAATCTCTTTTGCAGAGTGAACTTTGCCCTTGTCATTTGGAGAAACTTGAAACTTTACCTGTTCCTTTGTTGTTCTTTTTAGAGCAAGTTATACCCCCATCCTCATAATGGAATTGCTAGCAGACGTTCCACTTGTTCTGAGCATGATTTTATTTTCTTTATATTGTCAGACCAACACAATTATTACAGTTACCATAGGAAAATGCTGTCTTTTAGGATTATAAGATTCAGTCTTGTTTTTCAGATTTTACAATTATGAACTATTTATGCTTTCTACATCTTTTTTGTCACACGACTGGTCACTGACCACCATAAAATTGTAATAATCCAAAGAGATGGTAGATGTGATCCAAGGCTTGACACCTATTTCAGCAGAGTGCTTGAATTTGGATTCTTCCACTGAGCAAGATTGGCCCCTTGCAACTTTAGGATTTGAAAAATATTCTTTCCAGTTCACCCAGCCAAACTGACTGCTAAAAAGGAGGGGAACAACCGTGGCTAATAGCATCTCTATAAAAATGCATATTACAGGCATTCAGAACGGCTCACTGTGGAAGAAACCAGCGGAGCATCCGAAGAGGAGGAAGGGGCAGGAAGCCACCTTGCTGCTTGTTCTCCACTTTCCACAAAGCTTTTCACGAGGAACCAGGGGCTGCAAAATGTTACCTCTCCATTCTTTCCTATAGCACAAGCAGGCCTCTATATCAAGCTCAGTTCCCTTCAATGTGTTTATTAGTGTTACTCTAATAAGGGGCAGAATATAATCAGTCTACTCTATGCTACCTGCTAACATAATATAGCCTTATTTTTTGATCAACAAAACGTTATTAATCAATTAAAAAGGCATTGATTTATTTTAGTGCATTAGAACAGCTAAGAATTACAACTAATTAAGTCCATACATATATTCATTCAACTTTGGAAGTGAAATGGAAGTAGGCAACCATATGTAAATTGAAGCTATTAATCTATTTTTATATTGCTTACAATCTGAGGCATTTCATCTTATAACAAAGAATACTTTTGTTTACTGGTTTCCTGAAAAGTATTGGAGTGTAGGCTCTATTAAAAGCTAGCTTATTCTTAAAATGTTCAGTTTTACCCCGTTTTCAGAAAATAATTTTGTGAAATATGAATAATGGTAACATTCTCTTTTTTCTTGACATTTATCCAAGATACAGTCTGAAACTATGAAAGTACAAATATCCTTTTCACCATATTTGAGCAGTTTGTATATTTATACATTCAATTCACATGATTTTTTTCCCAACAGTGATAACCACTTTTCATGTCTCTGTCCATCATCCTTTTTCACTGCTCATTCTTGTCATCTGAGAAACATGATTTATTTTGTTCACCATCATCTTGACATTCCATTGTTCAGTTTCAAGCAAGGTGTTTTCCACAGGAGAACTTGTTCCTCTTACATTTGCACCATTACTGACATTGGCAATTATAGTTTTTCTCTTACTTCTCATAAATATTCAAGAAGTGATCTCAGTTTCTTCACAGGCAAGGGCTGGGGGCAATGTAGTGCCACAGGGACCTGAGAAATGGAATCTGAAAAAGATTTGGGATTTAAATTGTTTTTCAATAAATTATACATAGTGTGTGTGTGTGTGTGTGTGTATGTGTATGTATATGTATATGTATATATGTATATATGATGTATATATGTATATATGTATATATATAATATAATTTAAACCATTTATGGAGTTGCCACGACAGTACCTATTAGAAATGCATTTTGACTATTATATCAAAACTTCAATAAAAAAATAAGGCAACCTTAGGAGAGAGGTGTCTGACCCCTCATGCTAGTATAAAAAGAGAGACTGCTAAGCTTTTTCTTATTCATTCATCTTTCATATTCATTTGTTTTTCCATGAATGTCTACAGTGTTACTAAGAAGACATAACAAACTAAAAAATTATAAGTAATAAAGTAATTATAAAATAAAGTAATAAAGTAATAAACTAGAAAATAACCTTGTCTTTTTTTTCTCCAAAAAGTTTTTTGTTTTTTAATTATTTAAATACATCTTTGTGAGAACAGTGTGGTTCCAGGTGTTTTATATTTTAAATCAATCATATCTATAATCACAAATACAACTTTCGAATATCACTTCATTATCTATTATCATTTTTCATCTTTATATTTTCATAAATTACTTTGCATCAGTCTTTTTATTTTTATTCATTCACTATCTTCCTTAATCGTGTACAATTTAATCTATTCATATCATTTCATTAATTATTCAAAATTTCATCTTAATTTAGTTATCCCTTCTCTAATTTAATTACCATGTTTATATTATCAAATCTGTAATATATCCTCATTACCTTAGAAAAATGGATAACAGAATCTTTAAATCATTATGAATATATTAATCAATTACTAATTTCCTCAATCATGTATTCTTGTGCTCACCATGTTTACAATTTCATACCATTCTTAAAACATTTAAAAATTCCATCTTAATTTATATTATCCCCTATTATATTCCCCAATATTACATTTGCCACAGTTGCTTATATTTTATTTTCTATATGTTCCCTTCCCTCTAACATCTCATTTTTGCACAAGAATATTTTCTCTTAACCAATAAGTTCAAACTTATATTATTGCCTCATTATCTTATATATATGAACAAAAAAAATATAATTCATTAAAAATATTATCCTATCATATGGTTATATCTATTCTCTATCAGACTCCACATAACATTTCTTTTCATATATTAACTATTAATTACTTGCATCTTATATAAACATTTCTATCTTACTTAATCCATTATGAATTCTTATTTTCATCACTATTACATTAGCATTATTCCTTCTTGTTCTTATTCTTAATCCCAATTCCTCAAAATCTATTATATATTTTTACTAAAAATATACCTCCCTCCTTTCCATTTCTAACCATCTCTAAGTCTTTCCTTTATATCAATTTGTTTTTTCTTTGCTTGCTTACCATTTACTATCATCTTTTGGCTTTTTCCCTTAATCCTTTCTCTATTTATCATCATTTCCTTATATTTTCTCTCACATTTCAGAAAGTTTGCCCTCACCCTCTTTTGATCTCCTCTCTGTATTTCCCTAACCATTTCATTTATCAGCATTCCAATCTCAATATCTCCCCTTGTTTATTATATCTATCATTAATATCTCGTGTTCAATTTATTTTTTCTTCTTTTGTATTATTTGTTGTTCCTTTTATTCTGTTTCACTAGTTCCTCTTTCTTCTAGCTCCTCCTTTCTTCTTTCTCCTTCTACCGTTGCCATTTCTGAATTTTCTTCTGTATTCTGTATTTTAGTGCATAAATCCAACATTCTATCCCACATCTCATTCATGTCTTGAATGTCCATCTGTATTTCTTTGCATATATTACTCATCTTTATATTTCTTATTGTTCCAATTGTCCAGTATCCAGTAAGTTTTATTTTATTTAAACCATTGTCTCCTTTTTATTTTAAAATATCAATGTCCTCCAAATCTTTATATCCCACTGTTAATCAGACCAAGTCACCAATTGTTCCAGGGATAGTATCCTCCTGTATCCTTACTTTTCGATTATAATATATTCCAACTTCCGGTGGTCTTATTATAATCTCTTTCTTTTATTCCTTTTTTAATTTCTTCCTTTAATAAAATTGTTAGTTTGAAGGGATCTACAGGATTCTTCTTTCATCAACAAGTGGCGCTTTTAGTCCAGTTTCACAGCCACTCTTTTTCCGTTTCTTTATTTAGCTTCACCAATTTTAAAAATCAAATATTATTTCTCTTTAAAACAATTATTTCCAGCATTCAGATTAATGCCTTTCGATGCCAAATCCTATCTGATCACCAATTCCAAATTAATATTCTTCCAAATTAATTCCTTTTCAAATTTAAAGGTTTTTTTTTTTTGACTCTTTATATTTCCCAATTTCTTCTATCTTCTACCCGCCGCTAGCACAATTCTTTATTCTTATTCTTCTCTATTATAGTCTTCTGGGGTAGTACAAATAAAATAGATTCTTCTCACCCTTCTCCAAACACCGTTCCCAATCTCCACTCCAGCACTGCGCTTAGATGTTCCTCGTCTGTCCCAACTTTGTATCAGCCATCTTGGCACACTCTTCTCTCCGTCGTGGCATACAGAGCAAGCTTGGGGTTTTTACAGGGGAGTTGCGTTCTCCCCCGGAACCTCACTGGGTACCTCTCCTTAGCTTCGCCATCCCTCCGAGGCAGCTTTCAGCTCCATTTGAAGCCCACAAACGGCAAGAAGCCAGCGCAGGAACTGAGACCTCTGTTCGCTGCTTCTGGTCTCGTCGTGACGTCAAGTCAATAACCTTGTCTTTCTAACAAGCATTTATAAATCCTTCCAACTCTATTTACATTACTGCAAAAAAGATCTCACCATAACAACAAAAGGTGTTACCTGAACTTATCTGTTGCCGGAGTGCTTTGCATGTTGAATTCTGCAACTGGCACTCCCCTGGCAGATACCTGAGGAGCAAACATAGCAGCAGGATATACTACAGAAGAAGTTCCAATCTGTGAAAGAGAAACAAAACATGGCTGTATCAAAGTCAGCAACAGGCTGACGAACTAATAAAGCATTCATCTGACTTGCCCTCTAACTTTTCCTGAGGCAAATATTTGCTTTCTCAATCTCTTTTAACTAGAAAGCTTGACCCCAACCATAGAAATGCAGCATTAGGACCAAACAAATGGCAATACTAGCCTTCAGCCACAGATCTACAAGCCATTTCTCAAATGCTATTCCTGCTTTGGACTCAGATGTTTCTTATCTGACCATTTGCCTTGGCTGCAGCTCTTCCTTCTGATCCTCAAAGTTACTCTCATAGCCCATTGTAGTAAGTTTTAGCAATTAACACAAATATCAAATCAGTTTATACTATTATTTTTGCCCACCAATTTGTGCATGCACATGTATGTGCGCATGTGTATCTGGGTTATTTTTGACTCTGGCAACTCTCTGGATAAGTCCACGCAGATTTCTTGGTGAGATTTTGAAAGTAGTTTGCCACTGCTTTCTTCTCCTAAGAGTTACTGGCCCAAATTTCCCCAGCTGGCTTTGTGCCTAAGATGGGACTAGAACTCCCAATGTTCTCGCCTGATTCTTTAAACCACTGCATCAAACTGACCCTCATTGATTATAATAAGAAATTTTAATTTTAATTATAATTAATAAATTGACACTATTGATCTATACAATGTTCATTTTGGGATGCTCCAACTTAGTAGTATTTCTTAGAACCTAAAACAACAGGGGTCTTGGAGGTCTTCTAATCCAACCCCATATCCATGGCAGGAGATCCTATGCTATTATGGACAAATGGCTGTCCAATCTCTTTATGAATGTCACCTTTGCCCAGCTCCTGAGTCAGCTCTTAACCAACCACAGTTGATTTGGGGGGGGGGGGAAATCCCTAAATTGACACTTTTAAACATTGATGTGGGAAAAATCTTCTGAGAATATTGTAGACAGCCAAGAAAACAATCAAATGAATTGCCAAACAAACACAAGTTCTCATTCAAGGTACAAATGACCAGGCTCCAAATATCCTACATTGGATATATGACCTAGATGTCTGGAGAAGGCTCTAACACTGAGAAACATGAAAGCAAAGAGAAGAAGATGGAAACCAGCAGGCAGGTGGTGATGGGTGCACTGTTGGAAGACCTGAAATCCCAGGATAGGGACAGGTCACCACAGAGAAAATCTCACTGTATGGATGTTAGGAGTTGACAATGATTTGATGGCACATAATTAAGCTGGGCTGGAGAAGAAAAACCCAGGGCTGGTTACTAGGTTGGAAAAAATGAAAAACAGAAGAAAGCAGTGTATCGTGTATATTGTTGTCAATGAAGCATGCCACACTTGATATTTGTTGAGAGATAGATATCTCTCCTAAAAAGAATAGAGTTTTACTTAGTTAAATGTCCTAACACCGAGAAACACTATGGTTAGTAGTTAAAATGTTGGATTAGGGTCAAGGAAACCCTGATCCTAGTAGTCTTTCAGTCATGAAAACCCCTTGAGTACTCTTTTGGCCCAGCCCATCTCATATTTTAGTGGAAGGGAAAACAGAAGGAGGGAGTACAGATATTTAACCCCTGGATTAAAAGTGGAATACAAAGTTAATCAAGTAAGAAAAGCAAGTAAGTTTTAAAAACTACTCACCACCAAACAAAGATCACATATCTCAAGTTCTTTTTCAACCTCTGTAAGGATATTAGAATCCAAAGTTTCTCCAAACCATACAACATGAGGTCGCAAGAGGCCATTGCACAGTTCGCATCTGTCTCCCACAAAATATGGAGAAATTATATGTATAATTGAAGCAAAGCAGAAAGTTTAGTAAAGCAGTGTAAAAGAAGTGATCACTATACTTTAGAATATGTTGTACATGTATCAACTTCACTGCAAAATTATTGTATATTGTTTAACTTCTAGAAAAATCCATTAGGAAAATCTTCATATTTTGTACAGTATATACATTTAATCCAAACAAGCTATTCAAAATATTTCACCAATCTTGATATTGTTGTTATGCAAATAAACATTCCAGCCAATGAACCAAATCTAAGTTTTTGGATTTTAAAATAGAGAAAATTATACATATAATGCTGCTAAAAATCACTGGGCCAAAAAAAATACTCAGCTTAGATAAGTCATATAACAAAAGGCTGGACTTTCATAATATTAATATGAAATTCATCATGTTAGTCTATGATAGCATAAATCCACTGTTTTAATTAATTTTAATCCTAAAACCTCTTAGAATGAACAGAACAAGAATAATAGCAGAATTCTAAGCAACTGCATTTCAAATTAGGGGTCCCTGAATTAAATATATACTTAGAAATGCAGCTTAAGAGACAGTGGTCAGTAGCCCAACAGGTATCCCCAAATGGTGGAAATCATTCCTCAGCAAAACTGAGAGGAAGATTGGAGGCAATTCTACTTCTCCTGGAAGTTTGGGAATCTATTCTCAAGCCAATTTAGAAATAGGGAGGGGGAATAAAGGGAAAAATCCTGGACAAGAGATCCCTGTCACTGATGGATTATTTTTATCTCGAGCGTGACACTAGCTAGATGCTACCAATACTTTCATGGACAAAGCATTTTAATGTTAATGCAACTGTTTTCTGATTGTTTGAACAAGAGTGTACGTTAGGTGTATTCTTTTATACTGTCCAACAAATGCTCTTACAGAACAGAGGCAGCATGTATATTCTGTTCCCTCTCTGAACATTAGAGTTAATGAATATGAAAGCTGCAAACTTGTGGTCATTCAACTGCAACCCAGATTTTGTTGTAGCGCAAATAATAGTATCATGGATAAACACACACACACTGGGTTTGTTTTGTTTTGTTTTTTTTGAGAAAATTGACATGAAATCAAAACTTACCGAGGAAGATCTCCCGCAGGAATAGTAGCTTCTTCCGTTTCAGGATCTGGAGCACTAGAGTTGTTAACAATAATAAGAACAAACATTTTACTCATAATAAAGTACCACATAAGTATCATATTCTTCCTGATACTAGAAAATGTTTAGTTTTGATCTTATTTTAGTGAGATAATCAACAACATGCACATTTTTCCCCTTGAAAACTAGTTTGAAAAAAGCAATAATGATTTTAAGAAATAGGCTTAATTGGCAATAACAAGGAAAAGTTTTACTCTAGTGAGAAATGAATACAGTATTTTGCACATTTCCATGTAATAAAGCTTTTCTTGTTTTCCTTTTTCCTACTTTAGATACCTTATTTTTTGAGATATAATTTTCTTGAAATTTTAAACATGAAGGAAGTAATTCAGCAAAACATCAGTCTTTGCACAGTCCTCATAACTGCTCATCTATGTAAATGCTTAAGCAGACGTTTATATCCCCCGTTCTTGGAATAGTGCTCCAAAATTACAAATTAAACCGCTAACAATTCTACATAGCAGCTACAGTAAAATACTACATATATGATGTAGGGGCCTACACAGGACAGCAGCTTGCCCACTCTAGGTTCATATAACTTGCCTGCCTATTTAATGGTACCCTGTATTTCTATCATTCTTCACTAATAAAAACTGTGACTATCATGGCACAGATAATTACCCTTTTCCAGCTAAGGCAGGACAGATTGGACTGTTGTAATTCTCCACCACATTTCTACAACTGGTGCATCGGGTTTTGAATAAGCTACCTGTGACGTTAAGCAATAATATCAGATTACAATATTAATATTTAAACTTTTATTTCTGGTAAAACTATAGGAACATGATACAAAATGAGAAGTAACAATATAGCTTTCATCTACAACAAAATCTAAGTTAATTGTAATATTTTGAAAAATGGAATGTAAGCACCAACACGTACAAGTTATAAAATACTATACAAAAGGAATGGTAAATAGCCAATTATTTTTGGTTTACATTTCCAGACATAAAAAATGCTTTCCTTACAGAGATGTTTTAATTTCCTACATACTTGTAATTTGGGAATATGTAATGTTCATGCATATTTCTAGAGCTACAATATTGCCCATTTCCCTTTCTTGCTGAAATGACTCCCTTCAAGATCTGCTGGAGGCAGGACAGGAATAACGGGCTTCAGAGAAAATAAAAGAATCCTCAACTGTTCTGTATAAAAATGTGTACATAAGCCTTGAAATCTTAATTTGTTTATATATGTAATTCTTATTGTCTGTTTTCAAATGTTAATTTATAATCCACATTTTAAATTCATCTTATATATTAAAGAAAACAATGCTTTTTTAACTAAGCAGAACCTTAAAATTGCCTATTTATTTGAGCAGTGGTGTTGGGAAAAGGAGTAATACAGGTAGTCCTTGACTTACAACAGTTCATTTAGTGACCAAAGTTACAAAAGCACTGAAAAAGTGACATGACCATTTTTCACACTACAACAGTTGCAACATCCCCATGGTCATGTGATCAAAATTCAGATGCTTGGCAACTGGTTCATATTTATGACAGTTGCAATATCCCTTGGTCATGGGATCAGCTTTTCTGATCTTCTGATAAGCAGTCAATGGGGAACCTGGATTCGCCTGACAACTTTGCTACTAATTTAACTGCTGTGGTGATTTCCCAAACAACTGTGACAATAGAGGCCATAAAATTAGGCAAAACTCACTTAACTAATTTCTTGTTTAACATCAGAAATTTTGGGCTCAACTGTGGTCATAAGTCAAGGACTACCTTTATTATCCTATTCTTCCATACTTCCATTCCATGTTTCCTTAATCAAAATCCTTTATTATTATTTTTGCTCATAAGCTAAAATATAGGAAAAAGCTTTCAATCTTTACAATATAAGCATAAAAGCTATTTTGATACTCTGCTGAGGGAGAATCAAGAGAAAGAAAGAATCCAGTCATAGCATGTGCAAGATCTTAGTATGGAATTTATACTGACAAATAATTATTTATATTGATTTATTAATATAAAATATGATTAAACGAGCCCTTTCTGTGAATTCCTACCATGAATTTCTAGAACATGCTTTGATCCTGCTCTTTTGTGGAGTTCATCAATGTTTTGTGTGATGATCGCAACACTCCTGCCTTGTTTGCTTATCTTAGTCTCACAGTCTGCTATGGCAAGGTGTGCAGGGTTTGGTTGTTTGGTCATCATTAATTCTCTACGGTAATGATAAAATTCCCACACTCTAGAGGGATTCCTTGCAAAAGCTTCTGGAGTAGCCAGTTCCTGTGAGAGGAGAAAATTGTTATTTTTCTAAAAGAAAGAAAGATCCATAGCTGACTATGAAAACTGACTTCTTTATATGAAGTTGCAACAATATAAAATCAGTTTGCGTTTATACAGTGTATTCCTATGTTCATAATGCTTTATGAATATCATGGGGGAAGGCTAGTATAACTTTGGCCTGTTTGCTTAAAACCACACATTATATCAAAGCAAGTTTTTATATAATTGAACAATACCCTTTCCCCCCCAACTAATCCATTAAAATAAGATTTTATATCATGTTAGTAAAAGTTAATAATTCTAACAGAATTGAACTACGTTTACCACAGATACTGTAAGTATTCCAATCTACACTGAGACAATTTTGAAAATAATTTGTTTGACACTGTTGTGTTTCATCTAGTAATACACTGAATGATTAGCTAACTAGCCTTCATATCAAGATTTTAAGTCTACTATAGAGTTACATGTCATTCTAAGCAAAGGACTTGGTTTTTACTTAGAATACTGTGTGAGTCAGGCCACAGTATCAACCATACTCAAAGCAAACTGTTGCTTAACACATGTCATACTAGGTATTAATACTTAAAAAGTATTAAGGCTTTTAAATAATATTTAGCATCCTGCAAGTATATCTATAGTACATACTTGTGCATGCCATTTCCTCCAAAAGCCTCCTGCACCTCGGAAAGTTGGAACGCCGCTCTCTGCACTGATTCCAGCCCCTGTGATAATTGCTATATGTTTTGCTTTAGCAAATATTTCTCGAAATTCAGCCATATCTTAAACATATAAGAAAAATGCAAAGAAAAATATAAGAAAAAATTAATACATTTTGAAACATGTTCTCAATACACGTTATTTTTATTAGAGTGTGGAAAATTTATAGTGAAATTGTTTTTCAACTGTAAAGGTTCCTATTCTGGGTGGTCCTAAATGAATTCAATCCAATAAGCTCTGCCTAAATGTTAGATGTGGATCTTAACATTTCTGAGGACAGACAAATATGTCCCAAAGGTAAATTATGCTTGCTTGTCTTTTGAATGTTTAAACTAGAGCTAAAAAGGAGAATAGATAGTTTATACTCAAAATTAGATACACATGAAATCTATTTTGCATGGTAAAATCCAAGGAATCTTATGCAGCTTGGCATATAAGTCCTAAAAAATTAGAAACAGACTTTTCAACAATTTGTATTGATATTTTCTTGTTTTTACGTAAATATGTCAAAGAAATGACAGCTTAGTTCTATGATTATTTAGCATATCTAATCAATTTATTTAAAAAAATGTTCTTTCTGGGGCTAATGTTAATTGTTATTTGTTGGTCAAATTTAGGAGGTCCAACTCTATAAAATCATTGGGTTGCATACAATATTAAAAAAAAATACTATAAGAAAAAGAATGAAGCACATCCAAAAGGGGGGAAAACATTCCAATTAACATATAAAGGGATATAAGAGTTTGCCACCCACAGTAATATAAGATCTAGAGGAAAAGTTGGTTTTTGGAAACTTTCTATAGTTAACTTTACTGCAAACCTGAGTCAATAATTTTTTTTTACTAGCTTTAAAAACTGACTGAGGAATAAGAAACAAGGAGATTTCATATGAATCATTTAATACAGTATGAAATCGGTTCCCCCTCCTTTCAGATTTTATATTATAAGTAAAATAAATCTCATTTTTTATCTGAAGAGAAGAAGCAGGCAAATTTGGGGAGCTAGATCATCCGATTGCTGTTTTTAAACCAAATGATTTTTTGGAGAGAGTAGACATGGACAGAGAAATTATGAGGAAGATATAGTGGCACAGGAGAAGCAATCACCCCCTCCCCGTTTATTTAATATGGTCATAAACAATTTCTTTGCTCTCTTCATTCAAGCTAATAAAGCTAAATTCAACCTAATTCAAGCTAATGCATTTGCCAGTTTTACTTTTAAAAGAAACTTAAATGTACCCAAAATATTCATTTAACAACAGAAAATAAATTAAATTCCATTATTTGTACAGTCTCCACCATTAACTGTTCTCAATGCCCACATACTGTGCATGTCTGATGTCACAATTCCTTTGTTATACAAGAAGTGATATTTTTAAACTTCTGAATAAATAAAAGAATCCCATCTTACTTGAACTGGGTCGTGCCATTTCAAAGTATGCCCTTTCTTTCTTGGCTGGAGCAAGTTTAAGCCCGCAATATACTTGAGAAACCACGTTCCTCACGGTAAGGTTGAAAAGCTTCATTAGGATCCTGAATACTGCTAAGCAAGATTGAAAAGAGTAAAATGGAAAAGTAGCCATCTGACAACATAAAAAAGCAAAATGGGTTTGCCTACATTTATCCTGGATATATTTCATAGTAATTACCATAATACTATATTAACTAGCACCCTAATAAATTGGCCTACATTATGAGCTACATTCTATTCTAGTCCAGAGCACATAAATGTATTATAATACATTGCTTTTTATGTTAGCTTTTCTATGATTGAATGTTCCACAAAGATTGCATCCTTCTTTCTTCATTTTGCCCATAGCCTTCCTGCTAATACAAGTTGTTGAAGCTTTTTAACACATATTCACCAGAGTGACACAAGAGAATACCTGAAACTGGAAGCTTGAGAAATTATTTGTCAAAATGTATCTTTTCACAAAAGAGAAAAAAATCTAATTTTATTCACCGAAGGACCAGTCCAATGCAATTTATATCATTAATTTTTAAATTCTACCCCTTCTAACTAGATTTAATCTTTTAATAAAACCTTTTTAAAAATCTGATGTTAACTTTTATCTCAATATACAATCTACCAACTCAGATAAGATTATTCACATTTCCTGCCTTATCATTTCCTTCCTCCATAACTTTGTCTATGAAGATTCTAAGTCATCCAGGGTTGTTCCAAAGGTGCTTTTTCAAAAGGCAATTGGATTTTCTGGTTCTTTCTTTGAAGATGTTTCACTTCTCTTCCAAGAAACTTCTTCAGCTCTGACTGGATAGTGAGGAATGGAAGGATTTATACTCCTTGCAGACAGCTGCATTCTTATAGCAAGTCAAGTTGTTAAGGCCACCTAGAAGTTTATTTGTGTTGTCAGGGTGAATGGTGCAATTGGGTGTGGAGCCTTCTTGGAACTGTTGAAAGGACTATGTTTTTTTATTTTATTTATTTATTTATTTGATTTGCCAATTGTTTACAAGATAATAAGTATAAGTGTATACATAGTTGTGAATACATGAAATGGGTACATATAAGAAAAATAAAAGAATAAGAGAAACAATAGGACAGGGACGGTAGGCACGTTGGTGCGCTTATGCACGCCCCCTACAGACCTCTTAGATAGATGATATCATATCCCCCCCCCCCACAGGTGGCCTCTTTGACCCCTCTTTCAAACCAGCAGTTCTCTCTGTCCAAAATATGGACTTTGCTATTTTCAAAACAACGGCCGTTGTCTTTTAAATGCAAATGGACTGCTGAATTTAGTGGGTTTGTTCTCTTACGTTGTGCCATGCCTTTATGAAGTGGTTCATGAAGCTGTCTGCAAGGAGTATAAATCCTTCTATTCTCCATCATCCAGTCAGAGTTGAAGAAGCTTCTTTCTTGGATGTCTTCAAATGTCTTCAAAGAAAAAACCAGAAAGTCTCCCTTGAAAAAGCACCTTTGGTTGACTCAACTTTGCTGTGATGATGAATGACTCGAAGGGACTTTGCTGTCATAAGTGACTCAAAAAAAATGTTCATATTACAGAGATCCTTACAAGATGACTTACCAGATGTCACCCAATGTGTCGGTTATTAAAGTATTCATACATTCACTTTTAGTTGGGAAAATTCACTAGGAATGCTGATGTTATTAGGTAGAAAGCCCAATGCCAAAATAAGTAGGGGGAAGAGTTGTTTTGAGATGGGGGAGGGGAGAAAGGAGGGTAATGGCCCAGTGGCAAACAATACTGCAATCCCGTTCAGTTCCAACTGAAGTTCTAAAGGCAAAAAATAAAGAAAGTAACAAAATTTAAGAAGAAAAAACTATAGAGATACGTTTTGATCAAACCAATTCAAGCTACCCAAAGCTTCCTTATCAATAAAGCAGGATTGGAGATAGGGACAGCAGCAGATGCCCCATGAAGCCTAAAAAACACTTGACACCCTTTAAAAAAAAAACTAGATTAAGTGACTATTTAAATTCAGCATCTGGGGTCCTATCATTTTCAGTTCTGCCTACTGCATATAATTAATGGAGGGAAAAGAAGGGAACACCAGAACTTTAGTTAGCACAACCGTAGATTCACCACCTTGAGGTGACGTACAATACGTACGTACATACATATAGTCCTCGACTTACGACCACAACTGAGCCCAGAATTTATGTTGCTAAGTGAAAAATTTGTTAATTGAATTTTGCCTCATTTTACGGCTTTTCTTGCCACATTTGTTAGGTGAATGACTGCACTTCTTAAATTAGCAACCCAGTTAAGTGAATCTGGCTTCCCCATCGCCGTTGCTTGTCAGAAAGTCGCCAAAGATGATCACAGGACTCCCTGGGACACTGCAACCGTCATAAATGTGAGTCCGTTGTCAAGCATCCGAATGTCAATCACTTGACTGTGGTGAATGCTGCAATGGTCGTAAGTGTGAGAAAGGGTCATAAGTCACTTTTTTCAGTGCCGAACGGTCACTAAACGAATGGTTGTAAGTCGAGGACTACCTGTATTATAAAAGTGGGATACAAATATATTATTATTTCTGTCACAAACGGCAAGAAAGAGGCCTAAACAGACGAGGGCCCGCCTCTACCCCCACCTCCAATACAGGCCACCCAGCGCTTCTGGACTCCCCCAAGAGGGGCTGGAATTGGTTCTTCCTCCTCAGGTAATGAGGCAATGGAAGAGCCAGGAACAAAACTCGCCCTCCCGCCCCCGGGCCACACTTAGTTGTCGGGTCCCCTTCCTCAGAAAGCGGGAGAGCAATGCGGCAAAGGAGCCATCTAGTGAAACCCACGGAGCCCAGCGCTCCCGGTTCCCGAAGGCTCCGAGTGTCGATCGAGCGGCCGCTTTACTTACCCCGAGCCCCGCCTCACGCTTCCCCGGGCCCGTCCAGCCACCGCGACCGTAGGCCGCCAAGATGTGGCAAGCGGGCCCAACCACCAGAGCGAGCCCCCTGCGGCGCGCACGAGGAGGCCCCGTGTGAAGGGCGGCACGTCCCCCGCGCGCCGGTCGTCCCTAAAGTGCCTGTTCTGGGGTTGCTATGGCAGCGGTGGGGGGAGGCAGAGGGTGTCCGTCCACGTCTCTGTGCTCTCGCTTCGAACTGACAGGCATCGCCAGCGAGGCGGGGTTTAGCGCCGGGCTTTTATGGGATCTTTTTACGAATTCTGGGAGTTGAAGTCCGCCTAGCTTAAAGCAGCCAAGTTTGAGAAGCGCTGGTCTAGATCAAGGGTCTTCAAACCGGACAGCTTTAAGACTTGTGGACTTCAACTCCCAGAATCCTCCTCCAGTCATGTTAGCTCAGGAATTATGGGAGTTGAAGTCCACAAGTCTTAAACTTGCCAAGGTTGAAGACCCTTGGTCTAGATCAGGGGGTTCCAAGCTTGGCTACTTAAAAGACTTATGGACTTCAACTCCCAGAATTCCTCAGCCACCGTGGGGAGTTATGGGAGTTGAAGTCCACACGTCTTAAAGTGGCCAAGTTTGGAGTCTATTGATCTAGGTCAGAGGTCCCCAAACTTGGCCACTTTAAGACTTGTGGACTTCTACTCCCAGAATTCCTCAGCCAGCTATGCTGAGGAATTCCCAGAATTCCTATGCTGGCTGAGGAATTCTGGGAGTGGAAGTCCACAAGTCTTAAAGAGGCCAAGTTTGGGGACCCCTGATCTAGGTGGTGGAAAGGAGCTGCTGAACTATGGTAGCAAATGTCTGTGGAGATTCTATGGTTGGAACAGATATATGCAGAAATCAGTCAGTTTGCTGAGAAGTACCCAGAGAAAGGCTCCAATCCTAGAAGACTTAAAGGTAAAGGTAACCCTGTCCAGTGTTGTGAGGGAACCAGCGTTTTTCAAAGACATTTCTGTGGTCATGTGGCCAGAATAACTATACTCCAGGCACAATGCTGTTATCTTCTCCTCGACTTGGTACCTGTTTATCTACTCACTTTGCATGCTTTGAAACTGCAGGATGGGCAGCAGGTGGGTTAAGTAACAGGAGCTCACCCTGTCCTCTGGTTGTGAACAGCAGCTGTCAGCTACAATTAAGTTTTCTCCCAAAAGAATGATTATGAGTTTATCTGAGATCTTGAGGTGTTTTTTTCTCCTTGTTTGAGGGGTGTTAATATCTGGTTATCCAAGTGTTGTCTTTGGAGAGGCTATATTCTGGTCTTTTTGTTTCCTCCCTTAGTGTTTGGAATTTAATTTTTTTTGAATGGTACGTAAATATAGTTTATCTTTATTGATGGGCCATTTGTCTGAATGCCAAGCTTGGGCTGTTTTTTTTTTTTTAAATTTAGCTTGGTCTAGGATGCTCACAATTTCCCAGTTGAAACTGAGTCTGTCCATGTGTTCCGAGATTAAAGATTTTCATTAAACCCTGACTGCACTACTTAGTAGCGTTGGGCAAAGTATTTAAAAGCAGGGCTTTGGAAGGAGAGATCCAGCTTTCTGTATGTCCTTTCATCCCAGAACTATTTTCATACAGAGACAACCTCCAAAGCAAACACAAGAACCTTTAAATGTGACTAGTTTAACACATTGAGTTGTTTGCTCATGCTAAAGCCATTTGCACAACTCCTTTGCTCAACAAGAATCTTGATATCAGCAGGCTGCTAGATGCACTGATTCCCAATGGGTTTCCTGGCACAATATAGTCGGGCAGCAAAGGACAAAGCTACACATTAACCAATTAGCCATATAAATGTAAAAACATAGAACTAAATAAAAACTAAATGAGTATATTTCATTCTGTATGGCCATGTCAAAAATATTCAGAGTCCTCCTCTGGATATAGAGTAGGCTAGATGGGTGACCACAAAGAAATGTCTTCATAATAACAGTATCCAGCTTACTTTATGTCCTTCCCACAAATATGTACAGTATAAGGCACCAACAATGATATTTATCACTGTCAGAATAAGAATACTAAAATACTGTTTTTAAATGGCATTTTATAGTTGTTGTAAACCTCTAGTTGAAACAAGATTTCTCTTTAATAACTGCATTGGTGTGTTGCATTTATGTGTCTGTATGTAGTTTATGTATATATACCATTAGAAGGCAGAGCTCATAACTACTGATTAAAATTTCCTATAGAATAATATATCCCATTTATAAAAGTAAGTGAACTTCTACCTGTGTATATCAACCATTCTCTACACACACACACACACACATTTCCCTCCCTCTTTTAATGCATTCAGGAGTGGGAGTAGCTGCAGTGAAAATGGAGAAGGTACATAACTGGGTGAGGCAAGAAGAAAGGTAGATAAACAAGAATAGAAAGAAAAGACAAGTTGTTTTTAAATGCTATAAAAATGGTTCTGTTCACTAGTCAAGCAACGGGCTAATACAGTTTAAACTAAGCTATCTTTATTTCTCAGCAAAGACATGTACTATCATTTGTACCTCATGCTTATTCACGACCTTTCTCATAGACTATTTATTAGATATGTGACGTGCTTCGATGTGGGAAGAGCAGCTGTCTGTGCCTTTTAATACAGCTGCATTTTTTTCTGAAATTGCATGTTTATTTTCCATTGCTACATGTAATCCTGGGGAAAGATGTGGAAGTTGCAGACAAGTGCTACGGTTTGTGCTCTGAAGTACCCTGTAGAATCACTTCTAAAGTGGCCCACAATCCCAAATGATTATCACTAGTTCCTCCCATACTCTCCTTGGTGCTGATGAGAATCCTCCTTGCGCTCTTCAAGTGGCAAAAGGAACAGGGAAAATTGGCAAAATTACTTTCCTTCTCACATCACCAGCGGAAATCCAAGTGGCAAAAGGAACAGGGAAAATTACTTTCCTTCTCACATCACCAGTGGAAATCCATAATTTCAGACTAAATTCAGTAAATATGTGTGATGAAGCAGCTTTCATATATAAGCTGGAAGCTACCTAATGGTATAGAAGACCATATGCATTGTAATCAACACAAGGAATGATGGTTTTGCAGAGGGGTTTGATGAAATCTTCATTGAACATACTTTATGTCTTTAATACTTTGTCATCTTCAAAAAGTGTATCCAGACATAAGTATAGAATATGCTAAATTTTGAATTACTGAACAGTTTAGTTAATAAAATGGTGTGTTACAGAATATAAAATCAAATAAGCAAAAACATTTATAAAAATCTGAAGTAAACACTCTGTATTCTAACACATTCTGTACCAATTAAATACAGTATAGCAGAAATAGAATATAAATTACATTCTTTACAATAATTGCAAAATACTAGGAGTTAGCTTACCATACATACAAATCAAACAGCAGTAGCAGCAGTTTGTTCATAAGGTCCCATTATCTCAATTACTCTCTAAAAAGTGAAAACTACAGTAGGCCATTCATATTTCCTTTTTCTTGAACCATTTGCTACTTTACATATATCCAACATAGTATCTATACATGGAATAATTCCCTAAAACCCTCAAAGCATAATACAAGTTCATATAAAAATATATTTACAGATTAAATCACCTTAGAACATTTTACCTAAGTCTTGTCACACAGCCAGCAACAAACAGTGCATTTGTTTGTACTTATGACGCTGTACTGCTATTTACTTTCTTGTGCCCACAATTTTAAAAAGCAGTAATACTGTTCCTGCATCTAGAATGGCTGGTTGGCATGTATACACACTAAAATGCCATATATACAATATTTAGGCATTTTAAATATTTCCAATAAATGTCAAGTTGACACAGTGGCAGGCCCATAGGAAGACAAAACATGAAATCAAAGTGAAAACAGTATCTTCAGTGTTCATATTAAACAAAAGATATACGGTAGCATGATGCCAGGTATTAACCTCTAGAAATATGGCACCAAGCTGTCAGTTAAAATGTATCCATACCATTAAACCATGATATAAACAGCATGTGTATTAATCTAATACAAATTCTTTGGTAATTAACATATTGTAGGTTTTCCCTCAGATGCATATTTACATCCCGTGACCTTTCCACCCAATAAAATATTCTGTATAAAATGTAACCCAATTTGTTCAGTAACATTCAGTAAAACTCAACAGTTTTATCTACAAACAGTGCATTGATATACATCCATTCTCAGGAATCCAATTGAGCTCAATGGAGTACGTATCCAGCTTATGATAGGATTGTATTCTAGTGTGCAACCGTGTTTGCCTTACGAGTAGACAAATGATACACAGTCAACATAGTTTTTTTAAAAAAAACGAACCATAAAATTGTATCTGTGATTCAAACATTCAATTACATCTTAAAACTACAATTTTGAAAAAAACTGTTTCCCTCCCCCACCCCCAGTGATATGTGCAGCAAGTGCAAAACCAAAACCAACCTCAGTTAATCCAAGATTTCCTAATCTCCTGTTTTCTAGAAAAAGCAGAAGCTGCTGCGTCTCCTGATTGACAGAAGGCTTCTGCTTTGAGAGAGGATGATCCTTGAAATGTTGAACTCTTCAACTTCTCCACATTGGACAATACCTGAGATTGTGAAGTTCTACTGCGTAACTTGACTTGAGCTGGTGATTTAGCAAGGCATTCAGGACGAACAAATATCCCATGTTGTGGTTTGCAATGGAAGTATTCTCTGCCTTTTACAGTTCCATCATGTTTTCCTGAAAACAAATAAAAGTTACATTATCACCTTGTTATGCTGCAATTTCAATAAGAGTTAGATTGAAAATCTGAAGTATAATCATCAGAGGAATTCATTTCTAGAACTATGCAAATATTCATTAAAATAGCATCTTCTCTAGACAGATTCCTCAGCTAAAGGAAGAACTGTTTTGTGAAGAACTGTTTTGGATAGTAAATTTATTGCTGAAGATGTCTCTTAACAAGTTTATAATTCCATTTTACTAAGGAAATGAGAAAGCCAGTTTGCCATAGCAGATAAGAAATGTTGACTACAAGTAAGGAATCTTGATTTCTAGACCTCTCTTGGGCACAAATCCAGCTAGTTGATTTTGGCCAACCACTCTCTCTCAACCCTAGGAAGCATCAGCAAACCAGTTCTGAAAACATTGCCAAGAGAACTGCATGTATATGCTCATTTTATCACCAGAAGTCTTTTCTTGCCACTGTTGTTAAGTGAATCACTGCAGGTATGAAGTTAGTAACATGGTTGTTAAGTGAATCTGGCTTCCCCATTGACTTTGCTTGTCAGAAGGTCGCAAAAACCGATCACATGTCCCTAGGACATTACAACCGTCATAAAGATGAACCAGTTGCCAAGCATCTGAATTTTGATCACGTGACCATGGGGATGCTGCAAAACTCGTTAAGTGTGAAAAATGTCACAAGTCACTTTTTTTCAGTGCTGTTGTAACTTTAAACGGTCACTAAATGAACTATTGTAAGCTGAGAACTACCTGTATTACTAAACAATTTACTAGTATAAGATTCTAAATATTTTATAAAAATAATGAAATCTTACCCATTTGAACGTGTAATTCAATGCCAACCCAAGTACCAGTTGAAAAATCCACAGGCCCAATGTATCTTACTGTGCCAGTCTTATTATCATCAACGTATACTTGCTCTCCTACTGCCAACCAATTAGAATGTTCTTCAGAAATAGTATCTTCAGAACTTGGGACATCTAAATGATTTTTTCCAACAAAATCACCTACTGGGAGAGAATCTGCACACTGTTGGCAATTGGAAGACTCTTTTTCTCTGGCGTTCAACAAAGGATTTTCAACACTACTTGACAAGTCGTATCTCACTGATCCGGATTCCAGACAGCTCAAAGCACTATCTTGGTCATGAACATTTTTTGAGAAAGGTATGAGAGAGTTCATTCCAGCTGCTAAGAATTTTTTTTTTCTGTTAGCAGTTATACTTGTGGAACATTCAAATTCTTTTGTGTCATCAACACCCATGAATTCTGTAAATGCACGATCCTCAAAAACATTTGAAATGTGCTCAACTGTTGCTTCTCGAGATGGAAATTCAATCTCATGTTTGTTAGTAGAGGAATCCAAAGAGGAACCCTGTAACCCTGGAGCATTTACATTTGTGCTTTCAGACACTTGAACTTCTGTTGCTAAGGCACAAGTTCCTGTGATTGGCAATACCATTTTTTTACATTTAGCAAAGTCCCTTTCTGCCTCCGAAACTGCTTGGTTTGATGATTTTAAAACATGGGTTAGGTGTGCTACAGAGTGGTCATTTGAATCCAAATCCCTTGTCTGATTGGCTAATTGGTCCATGCTTTCACTACATGGAATAAGCATATCCGATAAAGTTGCATTAGAGGCACTATGAGAAAAGTAGCCACTTGTAATACTGCTTGTGGTGGGGCTCCGCGATACTTCTTTCGCAGTAACACAAGAATTTGTACAATCTCCTTTAGTGGATAACCATTCCTTATTTTCCAGACTGGCATTGTAAATACTGAAGTCAGCAAATTCCACGGGCACATAAGGTTTCTTGTTATTAATCTCCAAATCATCATCTTCCTCAGAGTCCTGCTAAAGGATAAGAATGTGATATCAATAGTCCTACATTTTAAACAAAGGAAAGATAAGTCATCAATGAACAAGGGATATGATTAATGCCTAAGTAAAGAAGTTACTATGACATTGTTTAGTTAGTATGTAGTAACAATTTAGTGTAATGTTTCAACAATTCTAGTAGTATAATTTCAAAACTAATAATTTATTAGATTAAACAACATGAATAACAACTATTTACTTCATTATAATTATACTGAATTATAATTATCTCAAATTATAAAGACACGATTTATAAAGACATGATTTAATGAAAAGGTTACTTTTGTTAACTTTGTTACCATTAAATGCATTTAAAGCTTTGGGTTATGGCAGTTTCCAACATGTAGAATCAAGATAACGGTTTTTTTTTTACATTTTAATAAAATTATAAATGACTATTATATGAAACAGAACAAAATGAAGCTCACTATTAAATATTCAGGTTGTGAACTTTCAAAAAGTGTTAATATATGTTTAAAAATCTTTTTATAAATAACAGCAGTGGGTACCTCCCCTTAAATTTGCTTTTAATAAAGAATAATTTCTTTATCACATGTTAGTCTTGTTACAGTGAACTAGGAAAATAATGCTATTTTTCCAAATACTAAAACTCTCCTGGCATGAATTTCATTTTATTTTATTTTAGTGGAACTTATTAGTCTTATTTTTAAAGAGCATCTGCTAGTCATATTATTCTCAACGTATGTTTTTTGTATTAATGAAATTTGCTATTTGCCAGGTCTCTCTAAGAAGCTTTACAGCTAGGATCCACAATGCTTTATAAAGCTTATTCAGAAAATGGCGTACATCCATCAGGATGTTTGACATTCTTTCAGTTCCCCATCATACTTGTTTTTAAAAAATATCCATTCTGTTTTAACAGTTTGCCAGGATGGATTACATAATGTACAGTATGGTTTAAGAAAAATGAACATGAAGCTATGTGTTGCAGATTCTAGCACTAAGAGTTTGAATAATATCAAGTTCTAATTTAACATCTATTATTTCATTCTGATTAAACTATTATCATAATATAGATGTTAATATCATTCTCTAAAAATACAAACAATCTGTTAACTGTACAGATCTATACCTATAAATTATTTGTTAAGCTAGCAACACAATCAGAATTAGTGCTGGAATTAAATGAAAACATCCAATTAACCATTAGCACAAGTGTATCAGGATGACAATTATAGTAAAATATGTAAAATCCAGGGGGGGAATCTAACATAAATGCCTACACCTTTTACAACATACCCATTTTACCACTTTATGCCCTAACATATTTGTGCAGAAGATCACAATTTTAAAAATCTGAATATAAAAGGAATGCAACAAATCAGCATTCATAAAACTATAATATTCAATGGATATTCAGACACTAGAAAATTTTATTTTTTTCCAATGGAATTTTGTTCTGTAGTTTATAGGTTCAAAAGCAATGCACACTCCCAAAAGTATTTTTTAGTGCTTAAGAAAAAAGTCTTATTTAGAACATACTCAGTTCCTGGTGAATACAGAAGTAAGACTTAGCAGTTTTCTGGACAATATGAACAGTCTGCCATTATCTTCTTCCAGGTTGTTTTTTTCAACTTCCTAATCTAGTTTAAGATGCATGGGCTTCAATCTCAGAATTCCACATTCAGCATGCATGCAACATGCATTACATTTGTCAAGATTGAAAAATACTGGTCTGGGGCCTCCTAGTTCTGTCCTATCTAAGATATAACTGCAAGAACCCTGGTGGCACAGTGGTTAGAATGCAGTATTGCTGGCTAATTCTGCCCACAGCTTGGACTTCGATCCTGATGGGCTCAAGGTTAACTCAAGTAGACTTCCATCCTTCTGAGGTCAGTAAAATGAGGACCCAGATTGTTAGGAGCAATATGCTGATATTGTAAACTGCCTAGAGAGTGCTATAAAACACTGTGGAGCAGTATATAAGTTGGGGCAGTATATAAGGCTAAGTGCTATTGCTATTACTAATCAAAACCAGCTTTGCTTAGCTTGGCTAGGTACTACCATCTAAACTGAAAGTGAACTATTACTTACTATGGCACTATACGATCAGTTGCTAAAAAAAACTAAACTGTATATGAACAGTAGCTAGCAATTATCAACCACAGGCAATCAAGATAAAAGGAATGTTTCCAGCTCTCACAATAAGGTGTATTTTTATATGGCTAACCATCATTATTGCAAGGAAATTAAAATTTACATAAAAGCTTCTATCATAACAGAAGTCATAGATTATGCCTTTGGCCACCAAAGCAAATTACAACCGGTAACCTATGATTTAGATCCAGAATTTCCATTGCAGAGTGATTCTTTGTTTCTACAATATTGTTGTATATTTTTGACAAATCAGCAGCAGCCACCAACAGATGATTGTCATAGAATTTATGCTATGATCTCTAAAGCTGGAAACAGATTTGCCTGCCTCAATATGAAGGCACTATTGTTAAAGAAATTTTTCTTCAGTAGTTCAGGTATCTACTCCTGGATGGCCATGGAGGAGACAATCACAACCTAGAAGATGCATTTATCTGCTGTTTCAGCTTTAAGAAGAGTTCTGACTTTCTCTTCCAATCTGGCCTTTTGAACAGGATCAATAATAAAGTTAAGTTCTTTCTGGGTTTTAACTATTTTATGTTTTGTTTGTCTCTTGACTATTAGCTATCCTGAGGGTCCAAAAAGTAGCAGGCTGAGGCAGAAATTGAAATAGTAATGGCCCTGTTCTCCTCAGATGGTCACCTAAATGGTGGGAACAATTTTCAGGGGGACTTAATAAAAGAGAAGTGAGAGATTGATTTTAAAAAATATTCAGCTCACATATTAAGTTATGTTTAAAAATATGACCTTTTTAAAATTTCCAAAATTTATTTCTGTAATTTTTTTTCTTTCTGTAGAGAGTAATGCAATTGATGTAAATTAATTGTAAGTTGCTGTTTTTAATTAAAATCGAAATTTGAATTAATGGCCAAATAACATAAGCTAAACGAATAGAATTGGCTGTATATCCAACAATGCTCAGTTAATTTGTTCAATAGATCAGAATACAACAAAGCCTTTGTTGGATCTGAAACAACTTCTGTACTTTCAATATTCAATATCATTCAGTCACTACTTGCGGTTCCCCAATAAAGAAAAAAATATCCAGATCTCAGTTCTCTATTATCACTGGGAGGGGATTCTTGTATTTTTAAAAAATACATTAAGCCTCATAGATCTTGTGCTGTTTTCTCATGCAGCTTCAGAAAATTAAAGCAACATTCTCTGGCCAACAATCTCATCTTCAAGTGATTTTTGGACAATCCTGCTCACTTATTAGTATAACTGACATTGCTATTTTCTGATATATCCGAAGTATACACATTATAATTAACTATTTTAACTATCTGAGCATGCCAAAACAACACCGTGTGATCTGAAATACAATATTAGACTCCATTTTGGAAAATGTATCAGTACTAAAAGTGGTTTAAAATATAGTGGCCAAACTTCAGTCATACTGTTTATTAAAATTTATTTCAATATGTTAGATCTAGTAATCTATAAAATGGGCTCACCATTCAATAGACTTTTTAAAACTAGTCCAAAATGGTCTAATCATTTCAGAATCTTCTTGTCTTATCCTTCATTAGCTAAGTTATCAACAATACAATATATCCAATCAATGTCCTGGAACAAGGGGAAAATTCCTGGCAACCCTCTTCTACTCTGAAGAATCCTTCCAGAGAAGAAATAAAAGCCAGGGGAAAATTAGTTTTTGGCAGCATCATATCAACAAGACAATGAAAACCTACATTTTTTGTGCATGAAGAAAGTGGTTTTTACTTGATAAAAGTACTGAATCTTGACCAATATGTTATTTGATGAATGCTTTTAAATAAAAAGGGAACTAGGCAATTTGTGGTGTAGTAATAATATTTAGCTATGTATAAATCTAGTATGACAGTTTTGGACCGTGGCTGCCCCAGATGAGATTATGTTATACTACACGTTTATATAATATATTAGATACTAACATGATTATTATCTTTGTATCTATGTCATAGGGATACTACTCATAATAATTTGCTGATGCACACATCAGATTTTTATATCAGTTTAAGAATAAAGAGTATATCAATATTCATACCACTGAATTTAAATGCTCATGTGGAATATTCAGCATATTTATTTATGAAATGTAGAGGCCCTCCAGCTCCCAAAGGATTCTGGATGGCTTACATTAAAAATAGAAAACATTAAAAGGGAATCTCATGCATCTCAACCTTAAATGGCAAAAACATAGCTATATAACAAAATGGATAATGTTCCTTTCTTGTAAAAGTATATTTTTAATGTATTGCTGCAACATCTATTGGGCATTTTATATTCAGCTTTTACTTTCACGTTAAGCAGTATATACTCTGAATTACCGTGCAGAAAAAGATAAAGATATTGAGTAAGCACAGTTAGATCGCTTCAGCTAGAAATTGGCTTATAAATGCAATGTAATCCTCAACTTACGACCACAATTGAGCCCAAAATTTCTGTAGCTAGGGTGAGAAATTTAAGTGAGTTTTGCCCCATTTTATGACTTTCCCCCTCCCACATTTGTTAAGTGAACCACTGCAGTTGTTAAGTTAGTAGCCCGGTTGTTAAGTGAATCTGGCCTCCCGATTGATTTTGCTTGTCAAAAGGTTGCAAAAAGGGATGACATGATCCTGGGATATTGCAACTGTCATAATAAATATGAATCAGTTGTCAAGCATCCAAATGTAAATCCCATGACCATAGAGATGCTGCAACAGTCATAAGTGTAAAAAATGGTCATAAGTCACTATTTTCAGTGCCGTTGCAACTTCAAACGGTCACTAAATGAACTGTTGGAAGTCAAAGACTACCTATAGTCATACTATACTACAGTCTTCAAACTCTGGTCCATGGACTGGGCTGAGCAGTACGTGAAGCTCCATATTTGCAAGCGGTGTGCGTGTGCACAAGGCTACACCACCACCCCCGCCCCCCGCTGCTCCCATCACCACTGTAACTCCATGGAGCTGTAAAGGTTGGGGACTGCTGGTATAATGGAATGCAACTGAAAAGATAGGGCTAAGATTTCTAAACATGGAAGAGTATAAGCATTTTCTAGTTGTTCTTTTAAGCATTCTGGAAGGAAGTTTAGAGTTGATAAGCCTTAAAACTAATTTGTCATATGCTTTCTGTTGGTTTTCACCAAAATACAGACTAGGAAACCTCTCAAATTCCAAAAACACTTTACAAAAGTTTCCTGGTCCTTCTTTCTACAGCAAAGGTGAAGAGGAGGAAGGAAGAACCCTGCTTCTTGAAGGGCCTTTCACTTCTCCCTCTTTCCCATGCACCGCATTATCCTTTATTCTATAGAGTCCCTTGACTTTCTATATAATATTGTCAAGGAATTAAAAGGCCTGTTGCGGAGAACAGAGCAGGAAAATCCATTTTGTCTCCCTGCTATGTGTGCTAAAACTGGATTTTGCTTTCTGTATTTTATTGAGTTGGCCCACGCATGCATGAATGCATGCACATATGCATACATGCATAAGTGAATGGCAAACCTGCCTGTTGCATGCTTTTAATATTAACTGCACTCAGTCTAAGGTACATTATCACTTTCAATTTAGTACTCTATCAATTAAAAACGAAAAGTTTTAGAACACTGGTAAAAGTTGAAGTCAGTGCCAATTTTTCAGATTTCAATCCTAGCTGGGGGTGGGGAATGAAAAAAAATTTTTTTTTAACCCTATCCTTTTTACATCTCTTTTTAAATAGTGAAATATCCATTTTTAAAAAGTGAAATATTATAAATAAATGATCGGTCTAAAACATCAATGTATGGATTTTGTCACTTTCATAAGCACCACCATGTAATCAAGAATTCTGTTACATGCATTTTCCCTTTATAGCTGGAGCATAAATGCTTATTTAGAATGGCCACCAGGCTTTAAGTCAGAAACGAATGCAACACTTACAGTCTTTGCCTCTTGTATGCTATTGAGTTCAAATGGCATGCTATTGCCATTATTTCCTGACAGCACAACACAATCAGCATTATATACCTGAGATGATGGCATGCTCTGCAAAGGTTAAGATACACAAAACATCACACAAAGAAAATACTGACGTTCAACCATGCATGTTAGTACAACACAAAAGGTTCTTGTCCTCTAATTAAAATAATCTAGGCATGGCAGTTAAATTAATTGCAGAAATCCATGCAAAATGAGCTTTTGGACTTTAAAAATATTGTTTCAAATACTGTGCTAATGTGGGTTAGACATTTAAGCATGCAAACATATTTAAGCAAAAATATAATACATGCAAGAATGTTTACCAAAGGAAGGTGACACTGAAAGAATACCCCATTTAAATAAACAGACCAAGTTTAACACACAATTAATTCCAAACGCTTTCCTATCATAGATACAAGTTGTGAGCTTCTTCCAAGATCAAAATACTTACTATCCACATATAAAGTCTAATATAGCTGTATAATGTTACTAAAGCCTATATTTCTTCCTACTACTTACCTCTTTGCTAAGTAGAGGTTGCGTCTCAAGAGAGGCCTTTTTATTCTCTTCTCTTACTGGCATTAATGGTTTGAAAAATTTGGGTGGTTGTGGAGAGAAAGCTTTAAATGAACTGATACTCGATGTGTGTAGATTCTCTGATTACAAAATAAAAACAACCACAAACATTCATTATTTTAACATCAACTGAAAAATAAACAGGCAAATGCTGTGAAAGACAAATAAAGCTTCACAAAATATTTGGTCATGAGTTTATTATTCATCACAATAGTGGTTCTTGAACTCACAGCAATGTTTATTCAGAAAATTAAGAGAGGATATTGAATGAAGTAGGATCAATTACATTTCATAGGATTCCTCAGATTCACTAATCCTATTATTCAACTGATCATTCTACGAGAATGAGCAGCATCACAAACTGATAAGCGCCATTTCAAAGGCCAGTTTGTTTTTTATTATAAAGGAAACAGATGGTGAATGTTCCATTAATGGTACCCTACAGCAGGAAAATTTCCATACAGCAAATATTTTTTGAATCATATGATTCTTTCTCACCAAGAACTGCTCTAATTTTGTATTCAATTCACTAAACATTTCAATTGAGGAAGCTCTTCCATCATCTTATCTGTATATAGAATATATTGCAAAGAGACTTAAATACCATAGAACATTTTAGAGTCTAGGGGGCTCTTTTGTAGTTACAGTTCATGGCGTTATATCAATTCTATTAAGGTTTCAATAAAAGAAAAAACAGTAATATGTACTATTTCTATGTAGCCAAAGCATATTAAAATAACATTTGTGGTGTGAAACACTGTGGGAAGGAACAAAGAAGGAGTAAAAGTTAAAGGTGAGAAGAGACCACAAAGCTGCAGGAACAAGCTTTTCAGAAAGATTTCATGTAAATTAACTCAGTATGGTCCTGACTGGAAATATGCTCTCTCAGTATTCTTTTTGTTAATTTATGTTGCCCCAGACCATCATTAAATATATTTTTGGTGGTTTTGTTTCATTTATCTTTTCACCTGTGTGGAGCTTGATACTCATGTACATAGGTAATTAAAAATAACCACAATAACTTTTATCTTTGACAGTGCTGCTTTAGCTTTTTTTTTAAATAGCTTTTTAAGAAACTATACTGCACATACATGCACATTCTTCCTATGCTTCCCTTCTATAGAATTTCCTCCTGTAGAAGTCATAGAAAAATTACTCTCTTTGTAGTAATGTTATTATGCCAAATGCGATATGCACTAATGGCAGAACATAGAATAATTTACCAAACAATGAAAAAAGTTGTAAACCAGCTTCAGGTGGCTTCCAGTTTGAGCTTCTTCAGCGACAGACCGAAACCTCGTCTCTGCAAGGCTTCGATCCGTGCTCACCGCTGGAGCGCCCCGAGCTGGCTGGTTTGGGGGCTAAGCCACCCTGTAGAGGTGGTGAAGAGGGGGGAGACTGCCTGCAGGGTTGAGGAGAGCTGCATCTCTCCTCCCCAGCTGGCCATTACTGCCTTTCCCGAAGGCAGTTGCAGCGGTGGTCAGAAATGGCCAGCACAAAGAAGAACTCGACCGGAAAAGAATGTGCAGGAGGAAGATAAAAGGAGAAAGTTTTGGTTGACCGGGTCAAACAGCAAAAGCAACAAATAAGGTACCCTGGAATTGAAACTATTAAAAAACAATAACATTGTTACCTAAGAAGATTTTTAAGCTGCGAAGGAGAGAGAAAAGGGAAAAGATTTGCGTTTTTTTTTTTCCTTTTCCTATACTGACAGCTAAGAGACTTAAGTAAGAAATTGGAAAAAAATCCACTTTGACATCAATAGGCATTTAATGCTGAAAATAAAAACTCAAAGGGATAATAAAGATTTATGGATAATTAAAAGCTTTTGAAAACAGGAAAGGAGAGAGGAAGAATAAAAGGGCAGGATCTGGAAGGGAGGAGACTGCCTGGAATTAAAAAAGAACTTATAGCAAAATCTCAACAAGACTTCCAAAAAATACATTCTAACTGAAATATTGCAACAAAAACCCCAGGAAGAGAAAGTCGAAAAAGAAATAAGAAGATATAACTCGGGACTATCTGGATTACTTGATGATTTCTGGATTCTTGGTTATTGTTTTGAATGACTAAAATCAACCGGGTGGTTGTTTAAAACTGTTTAAAATGGCTCCACTTTTAGAAGAACTGAAAATGGAACTTAAAAAGTACAAAGAAGATGCACAAGAAGGGAGAAGTTCTTTTGGCTTCGTATTTCAGTTTTTAGAAATGGAGATTTGGAATTATGAGAAACAACAAGAAATGCCTGTAGAACAAGAAGATTGTGACAAAGAAGAAGCCATCTTTAATGAACAAGTAATCTTAGATGGGGGGGGAGGGGAAAGGGGGGAAAGAGAATGGAAAGTTTAAGATTGGGAAAAACAACTCCCCCCCAAAAATAGAGTGAAAAATAAGTATAAAATCAGAAAGCAACAGAACAGAATTATTTTCTGAGAAACACAGTAGATCTAAAAGCCACACCTTTAACATCAGAATATAGTAGCTAGAAAATGGGATCTACCCCAGAGATGGAATATGGAAAAAAATCAAATATAGAACCTGAGAAATCTGAAGGAATAGCAATATATCAAGATAAGGTAAGAAAAAGGGCTGTGTACCACTTAGGATTCAAAGACAAAAGGCACTTTGGAGGACTCATGCAATATCTATTTGCAACTCCTTGCCCCAAATGTGTATTTTCCTGAGATTGTGCTGCAGCCATGGAGGGCATTGCAGCCATGGAGGGCAGCCACACAATCTTAAAGAGATACAGCTGATTATAGGAATTGTAGACTCATGCTAGGGGAAACATCTGCATGTTTTAAAAGATCTTTTCAACTTTGAATCTAAAATCCTGTACAGTATGGCTTTGTTTAAAAAAAAAAAAGTGGAGAAGAAATTACTTTCTATGTATAGCAACATTATTTCTCTGTTAAGGTTGCCAAGAGAATCCTAGAAAGTCAGGTTAATCTGGGAATTCAGAGCGTCCTAAATCTGTGGCTGTGCAAAAATATTATTTGCTTAGATTACAACAGTATAAAACTTGGCCTGTATAAATTGCACATGAAACAACTGCAACTGGGTTTATATTTCACACTATTAATTTCTCTTTCACTACTTTACAATTTCATCGATATCCTAGTAAATGAAACACAAGAAAACCTTACCACTGTTATCTTTATTTTTATGAGGTGAATCCCTTGGTAAAGTACCATAACATGATATATCTTGATAACTAGAACAGTCTATGACATCTAGATGACCTTCCAGCCAACCCTTGTGATGTAAACAAAGAAAAAAAATGCATTAATTTTCAAGTAAAATAGCAACATTTTCAGTTGCCTCCAACAAAAGTTCCTCTTTCCTTTATAGTTTCCACATCACTGCTGGTTTGGGGTAGTACAGCATGTTTTATGATTGTATGGCTTTGGATCAGTTAATATAGGGGTCCCCAACCCTTAGGCCATGGACTAGTACCAGTTCATGCATGTTAATAGGCCGTGAAACCTACTGTAAACTGTGCATGCGAGGGATCTAGATTGTATGTTCCTCCTCCCCAGTGCCCTGTGGAAAAATTCCACGAAACCAGTCCTGGTGGCAAAAAGATTAGGGATCACTTAGTTAATAGTGATTAATATTTATCATTATCCCATCCAAATGACAAAACCTGCTTACCTAGTATGACTCTATGGTAGTATTTAAAATTACAAAACCCACTGATAATCCCAGTTTGGATTTGTAACATTTTCAGCCTTGGAAACCCCTGGTCTATTACAAGTGATTATTAAATCTTATGACACAAAGAAATCTAAAATTACTTCTATAAAACACTTTTAGGAATTAATCAATTTTATATGCAAATTTCAATGACTGAATGGAATAAAAATTACATTTTTATAATTTTTCCCATCAATCAAGAGGAAACAAATTCTGTTGAATTTAACAAGTATTCACATATTTTTTCTACTAATACAAATACTTTTTCTAAACAATCTGCAATAATTTTCCTAAATGTTGATATGTATGATTTTAAATGATATCTATATAATCCTGTATTAAAAATGAAGAAAAAATATTTGTATTTATATTTTCAAAGTACTTTAAAATACTAAATTAATAAATATTGCCAATAATTTAAATACCTTATCTTCATCACAGCCAGAAAGATCTAATCGACTAGAAGATACCTAAAATAACAACCATAACAAATTTTAATCTAATGAATGCTATCAACCTGCTAAGAAATTACAGTACACTCCCAGACTATCTACTACTAAGTTTGATACTAATATTCATGGCAAACAAAGCTTAATCTACAATTTATCATATATTTAACATTGATTTTTTTAAAATGCAATTTTAAGCATATCTACCAAATACTTCTTAAATTTACACAGGACCACTTCTCTGTCCAATGCCCTATATAATCCTATAAGTGCAGGCAAAGTTTGCACATAAAGGTCTCAACAATTAAACAACATGTAATGGGCCCAAGAGGTATACTTGTCTTCTGAATCAACATTCCCCTCAGGATCTATCTCAGAATGTAATTCAGAATGGCTTCAAAAAGCTGGCAGACATTGAGTAGGGGTAGCTTGTGGACCAGCTGGATGAGATATAACTGAAGTTTCTGTCTTTCTTGGGTGTAGATCTTTTTTTATTCTTCCTTGTTATTACAATGTGCTTCTGTAAGTCACCTTGAGTTGCTTTGTGGATTGGGCAGAGTTAGAAAGTGAGTAAATAAATAAATAAAATGCCCCAAATAAAATTGTAGATTGCCACAAACAACTAGCAGAAATTACTAATTTTACATTTCAGGAAGTTCCCATTTATTACACAATCTGAATTTATACACATTTGACTATGACATTAACATTTATAGTAATGCAGCAGTGCAATATCTTAGAAGATTATCTTACATTGTGAACATTGGGTGTGCTAATACTCCTTTGTAGGTGTCGAGTTTTAGCAGAAAGAGCTTCTTTAACGGTGACTGCCTGTGTTAAAAAAGAAGGAACACAGTGAACTCTACTTCCTTTAATAGAGCTAGACAATTAACAAGCAATACTGTATGTAAATTTTTCTATTTAGAAAAAAGGCTCCATTCTTAGTATATATAAAGACTGCAACATAAATCATATTTCAGGATAAATAAGAACTACATTTATTTATAGCATGTTCTTTCTTTGCTGTTACATATCCAGTGATAATCATCTTTATTACCTCACGATATAGTAAGGATGGGTCATCACTTTAAAATATATTTCAAAAAATAAGTTTTTACGGTGGACTTCCAGTTTGAGCTTCTTCAGTGACAGACCGAAACCTTGTTTCTGCAAGGCTTCGATCCGTGCTCGCCGCTGGAGCACCCCGAGCTGGCTGGTTTCGGGGCTAAGCCACCCCATAGAGATGGTGAAGAGCGGGGAGACTGCCTGCAGGGTTGAGGAGAGCTGCATCTCTCCTCCCCAGCTGGCCATTACTGCCTTTCCCGAAGGCGGTTGCAGCAGTGGTCAGAAATGGCCACCACAAAGAAGAACTCGACCGGAAAAGAATGTGCAGGAGGAAAATAAGAAGAGAAAGTTTTGGTTCACCAGGTCAAACAGCAAAAGCAACAAATAAGGTACCCTGGAATTGAAACTATTAAAAAAACAATAACATTGTTCCCTAAGAAGATTTTTAAGCTGCGAAGAAGAGAGAAAAGGGAAAAGATTTGGGTTTTTTTTTCTCCTTTTCCTATACTGACAGCTAAGAGACTTAAACAAGAAATTGGGAAAAAAATCCACTTTGACATCAATAGGCATTTAATGCTGAAAATAAAAAATCAAAGGGATAATAAAGATTTCTGGATAATTAAAAGCTTTTGAAAGCAGGAAAGGAGAGAGGAAGAATAAAAGGGCAGGATCTGGAAGGGAGGAGACTGCCTGGAATTAAAAAAGAACTTACAGCAAAATCTCAACAAGACTTCCAAAAGATACATTCTAACTGAAATATCACAACAAAAACCCCAGGAAAAGAAAGTCGAAAAAGAAATAAGAAGATATAACTCGGGACTATCTGGATTACTTGATGATTTCTGGATTCTTGGTTATTGTTTTGAATGACTAAAATCAATCGGGTGGTTGTTTAAAACTGTTTAAAATGGCTCCACTTTTAGAAGAACTGAAAATGGAACTTAAAAAGTACAAAGAAGATGCACAAGAAGGGAGAGGTTCTTTTGGCTTCGCATTTCAGTTTTTAGAAATGGAGATTTGGAATTATGAGAAACAACAAGAAATGCCTGCAGAACAAGAAGATTGCGACAAAGAAGAAGCCATCTTTAATGAACAAGTAATCTTAGATGGGGGAAAAAAGGAAAGGGGAGAAAGAGAATGGAAAGTTTAAGATTGGGAAAAACAACCCCCCCACCCAAAAAAAAATAGAGTGAAAAATAAGTATAAAATCAGAAAGCAACAGAAGAGGGAAATTCAGAAGAGAGAATTAGAAGTAGAGAGACAAGGGGGTAAAAAGGGGAGGGAGAAGATGAGAGGGAAGAAAGAAAGGAAAAGAAGTTATAAAGGACAGAAGCAAAATATAGAGAAACAGGGCCTATTTAGAGATAATGGGTGAAAATTTAATGGAAAAAGGGATTCTGCAAAGGTACTTAAGATAGTATGGTTATATTAGAAACAGAAATAATTTTAGAAAATATGCAACAATGTATGATTAAAATGTATGATAAAATAGCTATCGTAATTCAGTGGAATGCTTGTCAATAAATAAATGTAATAAAAGGTATATTTAATGATTTATAAAACATATGTGAAGAGAAATAAGGGAAAAATTAATTATGGAGATTATATGTGTTTTTAAGGAAGTATGATATTTAATTGAAAAGAAGTGTTAAAGATGTTAAGATTTTAATGATTATTAATGATAGAACTGAACTGGAATGGAATGAGGGTTTATAATTACATATATTTACAATCTTTTTTTTTTAAAGAATATAGTGTGTATTATAAGAATGTACCAAGTAGAATTCGATTGGAAGTTATGTATTATGTATTATATTGAAGGTCATAACCTTAAGGTATATATTGAAGTTTAAATAAGAGTTGAATGGTTGCAATTAAAAGATATAAAGGTGTCATACTCCAATTAGTAACTACAGGAGAAATTTTGTTTAATGAGAAAAGATAATATGAAATTGAAACAGAACAGACAAAAGTATAAATATAATGATTTGAATTGAGATGAGATAATCAAAATAAAATTGAGAAAATTAAAAGAGGGGAAAAACTATATAGAAAATGTAAAATAGTATAAGATATGGAATAGAATACAAAAAGGAACATGAATTTTGTGTCTGTATAAAGAAGTTCAAACCGAGACCATGCTATTTTCAAAAAAGATGTTTTACTTGTATTTTGTATGTGTGAAAACCCAAATAAAACTTTATTAAAAAAAAAAAAAGTTTTTAAGGCGATTTGCCATACATCTACAGGTAGTCCTCGACTTACAGCAGTTCATTTAGTGACCATTCAAAGTTACAGTGGCACTGAAAAAAAGTGGCTTATACCATTTTCCCCACTTATGACCATTGCAGCATCCCCATGGTTACATGACCAAATTCAGATGCTTAACAACCGGTTCATAATTATGACCGTTGCAGTGTCCTGAGGTCATGTGATCAACTTTTGCAACCTTCTGACAAGCAAAGTCAATGGGGAAGCCGGATTCACTTAACAACCATGTTACTAATTTAACAACTGCACTTTGGCTTATATAGCGCTTCACAGTGCTTTTACAGCCCTCTCTAAGCAGTTTACCGAGTCCGCCTATTGCCCCCAATAATTTGGTTCCTAATTTTACCGACCTCGGAGGAATGGAAGGATGAGTCAACCTTGAGCCTGATGAGATTCAAAATGCAAAATTGCAGGCAGCTGGCAGGCAACAGAAGTAGTGTGGCAGGAAAAGTTGTAAAATGGGGCAAAACTCGCTTAACAAATGTCTCACTTAGCAACAGAAATTTTGGGCTCAATTGTGGTTGTAAATTGAGGACTACCCGTACTTCCAGAGTCACAACAACATTAAGGAAACATTCGGGATGCAAGGTGCTTCAGATCAGATGCAGAAACAATGCTTTGGAGGGCTCATGCATGCCACACCTGTCGACACCTCCTTCAAGAAAACTGTATCCTATCCTGGTTTACATGGTAAACATTCATTCCCATGAAAATGCATGCTTGAGTAAGAAGGCATCAACAGCATGCCCAGGCCTGTCTCAAATATGAGTGCTTCTTTACCTTGAACCCTTGACATTTTCTGATATGCCTCATACCTAACAACCAAATGCAATAAGCCCAAAACTTTTTTTCTATTCACCTGTCTCAGACGTTCAAGACTCAAAATATTCTCCACTTGTAATACCCCACGTATATATTTTTCAATGTATGTTTCACCATCAGAGGTACCCTCACTTTCATGTCTGGCTGCCATCAGAGCTAGAGTCTCTCGGTCCTCAATTTCTTCTGTGGCCTAAAAATTAAATGTTAGGTTTAATGCAGGATTCCAACCTTACATAGTTCAGTCTGCAACAAGGTTCATATCAGAATGACTTAATATGAAAAAAAAAAAAAACAATTAGGTTTTTTTTCTTGATAGGAGCACAGTTGTATTTACCTTTGGTATGTTGGATACTATTTCATAGGTCACACCACAAGCATACCATATATTTTTTAGAGATATTCTTCGTTTGAGACTTTGTGTAAAACTCTAGGGAAAAAATTAAACCGCAAATGAGCAAATTCTCTAAACTAGTATATCAAATATATATTGAATATATCTTCTCAAATCTACTTCAGGCACAGCATATATATGAACTTTTAGAAAGAGTATGGTTTTTTTTTCCATATGGTTCAACCCACATCTACAATTTAAATCCACATGAAAAGCTTTCAAACCGCAAAAGTAAATCAGAATGTGTTCAGTAAATGATAGAACATAAACGGTTTAAGCGTGATATTCAAGCCTTTTAAAACTTTTTAAGGATGAATGAGATTTAAGTATAATGTTAAAAATGCATGATGGGAAATGGCATGGGGTATATAAGACATCACTTACCTGCTTATTATAAATATTAGCAGCAATCCTTTTACGTAACACTAATTCCATTGTAGCAGGATGGCTGAGTTGGACTGTAATCTTGACAATCAAATATATTCTCTCATTTTGAGGTGTTACTCTGTTTAGGTGAACTGAATCATGTACAGAAGAGTCCCAGGCTGCAGTGGCTGAAATCTAAAGGAATAGTTTGGTTGAAGGTGAAATAGAAAACTCACCTCACCTCTATGTGGATCTGAAGTGTAAAGATACCTTTTCTTGAAGAAAATTATTTATCCGAGGTAATAAAGCGTACATTGAGACAACTAACAGAAGACTAAATGAAGTTTAGTCTACATCAGGGGTGTCCAACCTTGGCAACTTTAAGACTTGTGGACTTCAACTCCCAGAATTCCTCAGCCAGCAAAGCTGGCTGAGGAA